TGTGAGCATCATGAAGCATGATATTGGTACGTATGGTACGTATGTACTAGGTTGTCATAAGAAGAATACTTCAATTAACTTTACAGTAGGTACTTGTGTACTCGTAATAAATACTAGTAGTATGTAGAGCTATGGATGAACTATCGTACCTTACTGTACCGTTGAATCATACTGTAAAACCGTACCCGTACTGTAAATGCGAGTACCATACAGTACGAATGGTAACACCTTCTTTCCGATACTATGCATGACTCGATCCGGAATCCGAACCGAGTAGGTAGGGTAGAACGACGTACGTACCGTATGAGTAGTTCGAGTTCGTACGGTAGCAGTASTAGGAGTTGAGGAGTTACAGTAAGTACCAGTACCCGTAAGTACTTTMCGAACGGTACTTTAAAGTCTCCCACGTTAAAAACCAAATTTATTTCGTAGTGTACGAGGTACGGTAGTACTGTGTCAAAGGATGAGAACGCTCCTTGATTCACACACAAAAAAACACCCTGCCCCGTGTGTTTCAATATTTAAACCTGAGTTGAGAAGGAAAATTTCTTTCTTTCAAATGCCACCAAGAGGTACCTACCCGAAGMTATGCTTGTGATACGAGGAGTCCTAAGACAAATCTACCGAACCTAACGCTTCGATTGTGGGATGAAAGACGCTTGGGATGTGAACAGCTTTCGTTATGGAAACATGAGATACAAACAACAGAACTGGCGTTACATAATCACAGTCCATTCGACTTGATCCTTGGTTTCAACAACATAAACAAAATMAAAATAGACAATGATTGGATGGATTAAAGGTTCTATTAGTATTTTGGTACTCCTTCTTTCATTCTCACTGTATCCTAGTGATGCTCGTCGGCTCGAGAGAGAGCGTGGAACTCATTATCGAACGAGGTCTCTGATCCATGGAAGCGCCAGTAATGGGAAAGGAGGACAAAAGGCAGGAGGGAAGGCAGATGGAAAGGCAGGTGGAAAAGCAGCTGGAAAGGCAGGCAAAAAAGAAAGCCAGCATACGACATTGGATTACATTCAGACAAATGTACAAATGGACGAATCRAAATATTGGACAAGAAAATCTTGCAAGGAAAAACGAAACCGAAGGACAGGGAAGGCAACGAAGGCCTCACTGTGCTCGCMTTCATCTGAATCATCCTCAATAGTCTCCACAGAATCTCTAGATCCTTCTTTCACTTCAACCATCATTCCCTCTCCTGATCCGTCCAATTACCCGAGTTCGTCACCCAGTACTAATCCTACTCAATTACCTTCATCTAGTCCGAGCGGAACACCTACCTCATCACCGACTGTTTCCCCGTCCGGAATTCCGACTGAAAGTCCGACCTCATCACCGACCAAATCTCCGTCTCGAGTACCGAGTCAAAGTCCGACCTTGTCGCCGACCGAATCTCCGTCTGGTATGCCATCCGGAAGGCCGAGCCAACCACCGACAATTGCTGTTGAAACTTCGACTGGTAGAAGTTCGGGAATGGAATCCTACTGCACCAATCCCGAACCGAGCGATGTTGATGGCGGAAATTTCGATGACGATCAAATTCTTGTATTTCAATATCTTTTGTTCATAACAGACACTATCCAAGAAGATGTTATTGTTCCGGTTATGGAGAAACGAATTCACGATGGACTAGCCAATCACTTCCTCACGTGTTCTATTGTTGGTGACTTCACTGAGAACCAACCGAAATTCCACGTCTGGGGTGTTTTCTCAGATCCTCCTGATTTCATTTTTTCTGATTGTGAAAAAATTGCTTTGGAGTCACTCGTTCCAAATCCACCCAGTGGGTCGAAATGCATGGTCGTCCAAGCCGAATTGAAAATGCACGTATATTTTCCTCAAGCGCGTTTGCGCCGCTACCTCAAGGACAAGAGATCAAGAATGTTGGAGCCCACATCTGTGACTTCGGCAGATCCACAAGTTATCACAGCGACTGGTACCTATCTCAATTTGTCAATGAGTGGGGGCGAATTTGACGATGGCGAGAATGTTCTGAAGACGCATTTTCTGGCCTTTGTTATGGAAGGTGATACGTATGGTACTATTGACAGAGAAAGCCCTAAGGTTGCGGGAGTCAATGCGCAGCTGCAGGGTGAACAAGGAGACTCAAGAGTCGTAGCAGGGGCGATGACAATGGTTGCAGCGGCTATATGTTTGATCGCCGTTGTTTTCGTTTCGTTGCGCCGAAGAAAAGAACGTTCTGAAGCCTATCTACAACGCCTAAAGGGGCTGTCAAACTTATCAGAATCCGACACGGACGCATTTGATCGTGGAACCTATGTTGTGGGCGAATCTGATGATAACAGTTTAGATTGGTTCAACGACGACGCGAACTACGGAGTTTGTAAAMAGGTACCAGAACAAAAAATATCCTTGGATTATCAACATGATGTTCACAAATGTACATCTGCATACTGTGACTGCCACCGCTGGGATAACATACGACCTAGATTCATTGCACCCGATTCCCCAAACGTACCTGATATTCTGGAGGATCTTCGACATAAATTCTCCCCAGCTCTTGAAGAGAGATCTTATACTTCGCCCGACACCGTTGATCTCTGAACTCACAATTATGCACCTCGAACACATTGCTATCGTTATGATTTCGATGATAGCGTCTTATTTTTCCAATAGTAACAATATCTCTATGAGCAGTGTTGTTGATTTGCTTTGTGGACAGCTGCAATCTCTGAAGATATGATGTGCAAACTGGTAATGTTTGCGTTGTTACCATTAATAGTTTCAAACACCATTGGTGCAAATTATTATCAATACTAAGAAAAAGTATCTGGTGTCTTTCAGTGCATAGCTACTTCTAGTACTAGTAGTACAGTCTACTTTTGTTGTTCACTTAGGCACAGTGGCTGGTTGCGGTGGAAATCATGAACAATAAAATAATAGTAGTACTACTACTACTAGTACTAGTAGTACTACTACGTAGTACTACTACTAGTATGAACATATGATGTCCATTGAATAAGGTCTTGCCTTTGCGACTCAGAGTTTTGTAAACAATGATGTAAGGCTTAGTAAACCATCAAATTACTAGCTTCTTCAACTTCTTGAAAATCTGTTACTAGTAACTTCAAGAATTTTATTCTGTTGCCATCCCAAAGCCCCCCTTACAGGCGTACTTCTCCTACTATTAGATAGTCGTACGCTACCACTACGTCACAAGTAGTAGTGGTAGTAGTAGTAGTTGTACTGTTGGATTCGTACAGGGCTTGACGCTACTGGACGATTAACGATCCCAACGTCAAATTCTAAACAAGTCGAAGTGAAATCAAATMAGAGTAGGCGCATTATTCATTCGGGCCACGGCCAGCTATGCATTGGACGATGAAAGTCTTTCCAAACCAAAAATACGAATGTCTCGTTTTAATCGCATTATCTTTACTTCTMTCTTCGGTCTCGTCGAGCAGTGCTCCCCGAAGGAGCGGTAGTAAGGATTTTTTAACTCCGATCCCGAGGTGGCAAGAATCATGGACTGCTTCTCAAGCCCACGGAACTGCAATGGTGACGAGCGTCAAAGATTGCCTTGTTCTTTTTCTTCGATCCCCTTCCACCAACGTATACAAGCATACCTATTTCGTTACAGAGACGACGGAACTCCATGGATTGCGTCTTGAAAGGATCGAACGAGACAATCAGTACGAATCAATGCAATATGCCCCATCGTGGTTTCCTATCGGATCTCATACCGTGGTTGCAATGACTGGGTTGGCCTTGGATGTCGAGCATGTATGCAAGGTTCTGCAAAAAATTGCTGATGATCATCATTTTATCTACGAGACTTCGATGACAACACATACCATGACACAAAGAATGGCGTCAGTTCTGCAGAACGAATGCCTGCGGAAGGGTAGTCGCCCGTTTGGAGTCCAATGTTTGATCATAGGGTGTGACGATATTGATCAGGAAGATGGGGCTTTGTGCATATACTCTATTGATCCCACCGGTAATTGGCAAAATTGGGGAAAAGGGACTGTGATTGGAAAATTTGCCCCGGATGCGAGAAAGATTTTGGCTCAAAAACTTGGAACGTCCTCGATCACAGAGGTCGAAGACGCCATAGAATGCCTTCTTGGAAGTTGGAGCGAAACATCCAAAAAACTAGGTATGATTAATCCCACGGACAAAGACGATTACGAAGTATTAMTACTTCAGAAAGACCCACGAAATGCGTTGAAGAGTCGTCTATTTCGAGTTCCAGACATCGATATAGAGCGAATAAAGGAAAGACTGGAATCGTCTTCATCTACTTAGTCGCTTTGATACCTAGTTTTAATCAGCAAAAATCAACCTGGTAGAAAATCATAGAAAAATAAGAGAAAAGAGTATGTGCTTTTTTTCTTTGCTACCGTTGCAAATATCAGTCGTCCCACCGATAGATATTGTACTGGACTAGAAAAGAAGTCAAAATAATGTATTTCGATATTCGCTAGATCAAGTCTGTTGATTCTTGATCTCAAACATCGTCATCGGTGGTAATTTTTGGCACCTTCAGAAAGCATGTCCAAACCTTCCTTTATAACCTTCGCAACCTCCAAAGCGCTTGATCGCCCTTCAGGTTCTTGAACCCATGCCATCTCTATGGCACGAACCATAGCTCGTTCGAATATCCCCTTGCTRTTGTAGATCTTCTCAGGTATTTTTGGCCGATGGCCTAGTTTTACCAGTTCATAGACTTGTTTCACTGGTTTTTCCACCCAGACTTCGTGCCTCACCAATAAGAAGTACAAAACGTTTCCCAGGGAATAAACGTCAACCTTTTCCGTTTCTTTTTCGTAAGCATACTCTTCAGGAGATCTGTATTCTCCACCATTTTTCGCAACATCAAATCCACAGCCCTTGTTCACTTTATTGTTCCACGTGAGAAAACGCACGCGGTTGAAGTCAGAAAGTTTGTAATAACCATCTTGATAGATAAACTGGTTTACCTTTATATCCGTGTGAGCCATGGTTGCGCGTCCTTCTTCATCAAAGTGGTGCGCATCGTGTACACTTAAGGACACATTGTAGGCAATTTCCATAAGGTGAAGATTAAAAGTCTGGGATTCTTCTTCTTCGCTTTCAAAAATTCTGCGTAGATCCCCTCGATCTGCATAGTCAAAAATTGCGGTGTTGGAACACGATGCGTAAAGATCGACGACTAATGAGCTGTTGTGAAGTTGTTCGAACGACATCGCATCCCTTCGGTGACGATCGTGGTTTCGAAGATCAAACTTTTTCTCTTTGCGTTTCAGAGACCGTAACGTTTTCATCGCACGTTTTGTAATGCCATCGTGTGAATCTCGAATCATCCAGACATGACGAAATGCACCTTGATTGACCAGCCGCGTTTGTTCCCTGTGATGAACATCAGGTGCGATTGCTTCATYATCAAGGGTTGCTCCCAACTGAAACGATTCTAGATCGCTTGACTTATTTCGTGATGAAAATCCAGCAGGCAACCGATATGTTTGTTGCCAACCACCTGATAATTCGTGGATTTGATTGCAAGTAGGATGATAAGCAAGTTGCCAATCGGGAGCGATGGGTTTGCAATCGCCCTTACCAAGCGGGTCTGCYGGGTTTAGCTGTTTARSAGAGTCCGCTTGTATCGGTATGTATTTCGATTTCAATGTTTTCRAGCCCTTTTCTGGCAGTGTCAACGACGACGACGACCCAGGAGCGACCTGAAACTGGAAGGAATGATCGCGATCTGTTAGTTTCACCACCCTGGGTTCTAGCGAGGGAAAAGTCTTTCGTTCGATRAATTCTTTCAATAGTTTGTTGTTCTTGATATCGTATATGTTTCTTTCGGATTCATGCTCTTTTGTGACGTTAGCGAAGTTTTGATTGAAGTCAACATTGACAAATTGACTATCTTTGATCGGGAGGTGCTTCGTTTTCTGGYCATCGCCTTCCCGCCGCTTCTGACGTTTCGATTGGTAAATCTCGTTTTTATCCAAGATATAGCGCGAAGGAGACCTCATCAAGTATATTGTAGGTGGTAGAAGAAAAATAAATGAAATCACCATCAAAACCAGCACAAGTTGAGATGTCTTTTGCAGTGTCAMAAATCGCACGAAAGCTCGTTGGCACGACAAGGGCATTATGGATTTTTTGTTTTTTYCCTTCCTCCKACGCATTTTATCGGTCGTTGCTAATGGTGCGTCATAGGACGATGGCAATGGCGTTGCTTCGCCGATATTCGTGTTCACGTGTGCACGGCGAAGACTGCTGGATTCGTAATTCATTGTCGTATTTTATTTTGTAGCGATGCCTAGCAATGCTGTCTTAATGGTTGATCTGGAGGAAGTGTCGGGAGAAAAATCCGGCCATTCGTTCCCCAAATCAAATTTAGGTCTAGTAATGAACTTGGTTGTACCCGTACGTACGTACGGTACTGTATGTTTTCTATCTCTTAAATTTGATTACCGATAGAGTATGTGACTTTTGTTCAAAACAAGTCACACACACGAGCAAGTGAAGCAAACTCGGAGAGATACGGGACAAAAAGAAATCTTGTTGTACAGATTGCTGTGGTATCGTTTTTCATCATCCTCTACCGCATGTACTCCTACATTACAGTATTACAGTATCAGCTTACAATAAAATTGCAACAGTACTCCTGCCTTACTTCAGAAATTTGTACAGTACGGTACGTACTGTACTTTKAATTTTTACTCCCAAGGGTAAAAAATTGAAATAATTAAGCCGAACARAATGTTGCTGTATTAAAAAATTGTACCAGTACCCTGTAGCTGTATGTTAGTATTATTTCAGAAGTGCTTCGTTAATGTAATTATTTGAAATCTAACTTCAAATTCAATCATCCTGCGGTGCATCGCCAGAGTCAGTCGGTCTATCGTTGAGGTGTYTTCTTCTAGGTTTTGTTGTCCTGTTCAGGCGACTTYGAAAAATTGTTACTTCCTTTATTTTAGATTTTTGTGATCAGTAACGGTAGTAAAATAGTAAAATTTAACGTTACGATTACGTACTACTACAAGTAAAACGGCCGTTTCGGTTCGACGTGATGGTCATGTTGAACGGTACGTACTACTGTACTTCGTGTCAAAAAAGAGAGGAGAAAATGAAAGGCTGATTCAAAATACTACTGAATTTTTCCAGTGTGAAGATCAACCAAGGAAATTGATTCACAGAAAGTAGAAGTGCATTGAATCTATTTAACTACAATGTGGCAACACAAATGGGCCCTCTGGAGCGGTTTTCTGGGGGCTTCTGCCTCTTGCTTTGTAAAGATGGGGACGGGTGGCATCGACTCCTCTCCATTGCTTCGATTTGTCCAAACCCATCTTTCCAATAATGTCGGAGTGAAATCATGGTTAACCGACCTGGACGAGAATTTGCTTCGAAGCATTCACTTTGTGTTAGGAGAACTCATGATTAAGCATCGAATCAATCTCATGTTGTACTGGAAAATGATTCGAACGAACCTCATCGAAGAGTTTGCAATCCGTTTGTATTTGTTCGAAGTTGATTATTGCGAACTCTGCATTATGCTACCGATCCGAATTACATGCATCGTCGCCATGATTATTACGAATGCCTACATGATTGCCAGCTTTTTAAGGGGGATGAAAGAATCAGGAAGCGTTGCTGGGACATCCCTATCGACAGCGTCTAATTTCGCCAGCAGTGCCATGTATGGAAAACTACTCTGGGACGAGTCGATGAACGGGAAATGGTGTGTAGGATTTACTTGTGTACTGGGAGGCGTAATAATCCTCTCTAGCGTGACGACGACTGAATTCAGCAATCAGATCAATAATGAACAAGGTGCTGATGTTGTCGTTAGAAGGGAAATCACCAAGACCCGTTCTCCCAAAAGAACGATAGCAAAGAAAACGCCTCCGCCACCCTTGACTATTTTTACAAAAGCAAATATTCATCCGCCAGCTGTCGAGAACGTCATCACCAGCAGCAAAGTAGCATCCGTCAGGTCTTCCTTTTCGCCAAAAATAGATTCCTCATCAAAGGAAGTGGGTCCAACAGTGACACCCTCACCACGGCAAGCCTCTACACCAACGTTTTCCAAAACTGTAACTTCGAAACCTTCTTCCTCAGGAAAAACACCGAGACTGAAAGAAAAGAAAATATTAAAACCAGAATCTGCCTTGAAGCAATTTTACAACTTTCGCGATAAATCGTCCCCTTCTTCACAAAACCTGATCAGTCGAAGCTTTGTCAATGAATGTGCCTTATGCGAGGGTATTCTGTTCGACGAAACAACTGGTGAATCAAGGGATGCGATTGCCGACTTGTCCACCAACACGTGCTTTCATTTGTTCCATGCCAAATGCCTCAAACAAGCTAGTAAATCGTTCGGCCATGGTTGTCCAATTTGTAAGACGCCACTAGCAATGTGGACATCTTCCAAACAGGCCGCTCAGTTCCCTGGATTTTGGCTGGAACGTGTCGAGAACTACCTCCTGACCATAGATACTGCACCAAAGAATGATATGACTGGAAAAGATGTGTGCCTACCGGCATCGAAGATTCGAGATCATTTCAAGGAGAAAGGTGACTTGACGGAAGCTCAAAAGTTGTACATCGAAGATGATCCCTCGGGTTTGGATAAAGGTCTGCAGGCCGCATTGGAATGGTGAGTTGGAAGATCCTTACAGCTCCGAAATAAATTTAAAAGCAGCTGCCGACAAAGAGGAATTGGGAACTCGCCAATCCGTAAAGCAATTGTACATCGATTTAGTCCACTAATTGGAAGAAGAAAAGAAACACGGGAGTATCCTTCGTTTGTGCTTTGCTGATATTCTTTTTCTTTTTGTTCTCCCGTGTGGGTATTTTTATCTTATGCGATCCACTACAATGGCGACTACGACTACTACAAATCATTGTCTTATTTTAGGGGGGGGTACATAGATTACAATCGGGTTCCAAAGGGTCGCGTGGGATTTTCGCTAGCGTTGCGCACGAAGGGGATTTGGAAGTACGATCCGAAAAAGGATGATATCTGGTTGTGGGAATGGGGTTCAATTCACCCTAGGCAGCGTTGCCATCAATGTCAACTAATAAAGCGTCCACTTCCGGTGGAATGCAAGGAATGTCGTGGTTCATCTGAAGCAGCTATTTATTGTAGTGAATCTTGTGCCAAACGGGACAAGCAAAGACACCAGCTGACATGCAACTGCTGGAAGGAGCATGGCCCAAAGGATTGAAGAAATGTCCTAGCCCAATGCACAAAACGGATATCATTAACAAATGTGGAAATTTGTCCCCAAACATAGTAGAAGTTAGAAGTAGTCTTTAACAGACTGTGCTACTCATCCAGACCCAAAACTGGGTCGCACTGGGTCTGTTTGAGTAGCACAGTGCTTTCGAAATGAGAACCTTCTCTTTTTCACTGTAAAAGTACTTTGCAACATTGTTCTATTCATAATACTTAGTACAGCAATGATGAAATAGTAAGTTAGTATTGTGATCCTTATTAGAGAAAGTTCAAATCGTCCAACAGTATTCCAGAAATAACAACACAATGTGTGAGGCATTGTTTGGAGCAAAACAGTTCCATTTCTTATTTCTGTTCTTTAACTCACAAATTCTTTTGTGACAGCAACAATCCTCAATCCTCACCTTGTCATACCATAATTGTTGAGTTGCTTCTTACTTTTTCTTTGTATTCACACCCATGAGATTACTAAACAAATTACTAAMGTGATACTGAAATTTCACACTAGTAAGAAAYACTAGAAGTTATTTTTTGTTTTATGATTTCTTACACCTCAATGAAGTAGTACATGCCTGCTCACAGGTTTACTTGTCATACTGTATCAGCATCCTCCTTAACTTGGACTGGGAACTTAGTCTAGTGGTCAAGAGTTGTTTTTTGATAGAGTTCTGGCCTATTTTCTAACCAGTAGCCAGTCTCCACTGGACAATTTTGGCCATACTAGTACCACCACTGGCTGTTAACGGAGAACTGGCTCTCTCCCCCTGCTGCTGGGCTGGTGGTGCTGCTCCTCTAATCGTGTAACAATGAGGACACACAGCAATCTTCTTAACACTMGTATGACCAAGCATATCCCCAAAGGGGATYTCATTAGAGGCCTTTCCAGAGCTGTTTTGGTTAGCTTATTGAACTGTTTGGGGTTGAAAGAGTGACCAAGTACTAGTAGATCTATGTAGGATCAGTACTAAAGAATACTGTGCTTCAAAATCAACACACGATTTTACTAGTAGTCCTTCGTAATAATTTTTGTTGTTTGAGTAGAATGCCTTTTCCCCCTGGTTGTAGGATTCTCGCATTATYGATGAAACTGGTACCGTGTCCTGATTCGTGGTGATACGATACYGTAGGAAATGATCRTACATAATACAGTACTACCTCACGTACGAGGACTCCTAATGTCAAGCGCAATAAAGTCAAGTACTTGGCAATTCCCCGGGTGTCAATTTTTTTTATTTTCCTGTCTTTATTTCTCCTCTCCCCCTCCTCCACGAAAAAATTGAAGTCCGAAAATATTTCTATTCCTGGTACTTACTACTGAGAATATCAAATCAGTGCTTATCTCAACTATTAACGACCAATAATAGAAATATTTTGGGACTAGCAAGAAATTAAACAATGGAAATATTTTTATTTTCGTCCATTGGATGCCTTTTTTTAACTGTAAAAATGAGCTAAAGAAAATTTCTATTAGTATTTGTACGGGGATTGCCAAGTACTTGACTTTAGTGCGCTTGACATTAGGAGTCCTCCTACGTACTCTGTATCAATTATTGCAAAATGTACTTGTGCTCTTTAGTGTCGCATAACTACCACGTGTTTACAATAAAGAGTGAGTTTATTCACTACTATCTATTCGGGATTGAGCCTCACACCACCACCCCGCACTTGCAGGATAAAAATCCTCGTACGTGGAAGATCTACTGTTACATAGTAGATCTTGTAGAGGATTTAGACTGCAAGTGGAGCAAAATACGTGATGCTTCCRTGGTGTGCTGGTGTTAACTGCTGTTGGTGCCATTGGTGTTGAATCAGCCCGATCGTGTTGTGTTGTTGTTGTATTCAGTATTAAATTYGTATAATCTGGTTTGATTCTTCCCATAAAGATATYAGTGTGTTGAAGGAATTTAGTTCTTCCTGTAGGTTTGCTCAGTGAGTCACTGTAGTTCTCATYRGATTTGGTTTCTATGAAGTTAATGTGTTCATCATCTGTCCATTGTAGTATAACAAAGTGTTTCATTTCCACATGGCGTGTTCTTCTGGTTGGTTGGYGAGCATTGGCCATTCTAACYGCACCATGATTATCTGCCAATATTGGTGTTGGGGATGTTTGTGGGAGTTTTAGTTCCTCAAGTATCCATCTTAGATATAAAGCAGCTTTGCCTGCATCTGCCATGTTAGTGAATTCAGCCTCTGTTGAGCTCTGTGCTATGGTTGGTGGTTGAAGGCGTGTTCGATAGTATATTGCYGCGCCTGCAAGCATCATAATTACACCCCCCATAGATCGGCATTGGAGCCTATCTGAGGCCCATGTAGTATCACATGCTCCATGGATTTGGAGGGGTTCAATAGATTGGTAGAATTTTGTTAGTGTTTCTGGCTTTGAGTGAGGGGTTGGAAAAGGAAGGAGGGGAAGATCTGGACGTGGTTCTGGTCTCCAGTAGGTGAAACCTTCTTCTTTGGTAGCCAGGAGGTATAGGAAAAGGTGTTTAACTGCTTGGTAGTGGATTTTAGCTGGGTTGTGGAAGTGTTGGCTCAAGGTGATCACTGCGATCATGATGGACGATATGTCTATTCTACAGATTGTTAGTAGGGCATATATCAGTTCCCCTATACATTGTCGGTAGTTGAATCCCATCTGCTGTTGCAGTGTTTTGGCCTCTACAGGATCGGTAGGTCCACTACTAAGTTGTATATCCTTTTGGTAGGATGGTTGCTCTTTAGTGTCGCATAACTACTTGTTTACAGTAAAGAGTGAGTTTATTCACTATCTATTCGGGATTGAGCCTCACAATTATCWATGTCAAAATCTGTTTCGAGATTGAGAGATCTGTGCCGTATCTTCTCCTCGTCCATGGTTGATCTTATGATCTTCTAAGCRAAAAACATACCAACACCTGTATTAGTCAGTTTTCTGCTAGTTTCATTCTTACAACCGAAAGGAAATCTATCTACCATGTCATCGTCCTCTAGGGAACTGCTAAAAATATATTCTCTTGAAGATATCGAGAAGATCGTGTCTACGACTGAATTCCGAAACAAGCTAATCAATGGGATCAAAGAAGGATTTGTTTCTTTGGAAAAGGGTGAATTCTTTGCGGCTCCAATACAAACACTTGGTTTGCCACCTTTTCCATTTCTAGAGGTGACCGATTATGCAGCTCAGACTTGTGTAAAATCGGGTTACTTCAAAGGTCGTGACCATTATGTGATCAAGGTGAGTTGTCACATCCAGATCGGTCGAGGGTGGGAAGAAGATACGAGAACTTAAACGGGAATGCAAAAAAAAAACCCGTCTATTCGTTGAATTGCAACCTCAGGTATCGATATTCATCYTTTGCTTACACCCAAAGGTTGCAAGTGGAGGCCACCCCATGCCGAGTAAGTCACAACGCAATTAGCACTGTTCTACCATCACACTTTTGTTTCCGACGTTTTCAACATTGAAAAGAAAAAATTAACTTTAATGTCCATTGGTGATTTTGCTATAAAATACAGACAGCGGCCTCATGCAAGTTTATTCACAAAAGACTGGAAAGCTCGAGGCCCTTTTGTTAGATGAAGGCATCTTGACAGAGTTAAGAACCGCTGCAGTGGGTGCATTGGCCGCCAAGTTGCTAGCCCCGAAGATCGAAGCGATTGGTGTTATTGGAAGTGGAGTGCAGGCAAGATATCAATTAGACATGCTTTCTGCTGTAACAGAATGCAGAAATGTTTTGGTCTGGGGTCGAACGCCTACCAATGTAGATATCCTGATATCAGAAATGACGGCAAAGGGATGGAATATTAGTGCAGCAACCTCTCCCGACCGCCTGCTCGAAGATGTTGACCTCATCATTACAACAACCCCTTCTCGTGAACCCATTATTGGGAAATCAAATTTGTCGACACGAAATAGCGGTCTCACAATTATCTGCATAGGGTCGGATGCTCCAGGAAAGCACGAGCTCAGTCCTGCCTTGGTTGCTAAGGCCGATTTATTGGTTGCGGACAAATGTGCGCAATCGATTGAAAGAGGAGAGTTTCAACACGCGGTCGCAAATGGTCTGGTCTCAAAAGAATCATTGGTTCCTCTCGGTGATTTAATTCAAAACGAGGATTTGCATCGAAAAGACGACGACGACCGGTTCATCATTTTCGACTCGTCGGGTGTCGCATTGCAGGATTGTGTTGTCTCGTCGTTGGTAGTAGGAACTCYACCATAAACACCTTATTGCGTGGTTGAAGTTTATTCAGTGCTTTGATAAAACGGCCGCTAATATCTATTTTCCAGCTTTATCAATATAAAAAATAAATCCAGCAGGAACAAAAAGGAGGAATTCTAGATTCGTGCGAAAAGTAGACTCTAGACTCTAGATGAAAAATCCTTAGGGAAAAAATAGTATTTTCAGCGATTTTCGCGTACCCCAAGCCTCCTCAGCTCAGACAAAAAAAATTGTTGAACCTGTCTTGCCGATGCTCGTTCTGAAGGGTCTTGGATCCAGCACATTTCAATGGCTGTTATCATAGCCTGATCAAAAGGATCGGTGGAGTTCCGAACAGAGCTCGAAATGATCGGTCTGTTCCCTTTTTTGATCAGCTTCCGTGCCTCCTTCTCTTCTTTGTCTTGGAATGGGTATTTGCCAGTCAGAACGCTGTACAAAACATTTCCAAATGAATAGACGTCAACCTTCTCCGTTTGCGGGTCGTAATGGTACTCTTCCGGAGATCGCCACTGAATGCGAGCAGAATAAAAGGTTTCGAGACAAAAACAAAGGGAACAAAAGTAATCAGAGCAAGATGAGGAATGACTGTGTATCAAAAACCACGAAATGCGCAACACCATGAGATCCGAGAAACGGTGTTTTGCCATTTTTCTCTTCTTCAAATCTTTGTTTCGCATGGAACTTACAGTTCCCCTGTGCGAATACCGGACAAAATTTGGTACAACGAAATGTGGTTAGCAACGACAAAGAAATAACGGGCGACGACAAGAGCACGAGTCATTCCAGGGCCCAATTCCGCTCCGGAACGTACGGGTTGTTTCCCACTTCATAGGTACAGATCTCGTTGGTAAAATTGTTCTTTGCGAGAAAGCGGGCGCGGTTAAAGTCGTTGAGTTTGTAGACCCCGGCCTTGTCTACGTAGACAAACTGCGTCGACCCAATGTCGGTATGGGCGACGGCGGGGACGCCTTCCTTTGCAAAATTGTGAAGGTCGGCAAGCCCCGAAGCGGCCTGGTAGCCAATGATGACTTTTTCCTGCGGAGTCCAGGGCTTTTCCTTGTCGCCGTCCTCGTGGTGGTAGTTGTACCAGACGCTGTCGTCGAGAGAACCACCGTCGGCGTATTCAAACAATCCCGAGTTTCCGCAGGCGGCGTAAATGTCCACGATGAAAGTGGAAGACGTCAATCGTTCCATGGTCACGGCGTCTCGCCTGTGGCGGTCGTAGTTGCGTGGCTTGTAATCGTGGGTGTATCGCATCGTCTTCAAAACAACGACTTCTTCGGGGTTGCCCTCGTTCCGAAGCAGGTTTTCGACGGTCCAGACGTCCCTCCAGTATCCGTGCGAGATCATCTTTGAATACGAGTGCAGGGACGAGGACGCAACCGGCAAATCGTGCTTGTTGTTGTAGTGGTCCTCGTGGAACATGGGCAGGGGACTGAGGTTCGTCATATCGATTTCCATCAGGTGGTTGCACGTCGGAAAGAATCCCTCTTGCCAGTCGTACTGGGCCGTGCAATTTTCGCCCATGTCTTCCATGACATCCGCGGCTCCGTTCTCGTAGTCGTCGCTATCGAGCAGATCGCGCTGGCGCCGTATGTCTGTTTTGGTCATGAACACCCCCCTCGGGATCCGGGCCCGCCGATTGTCGTAGAGTGGGTGGGAGAGGGCTTCGGTTCCAACGTACGACCCGGCGTCGGCGCGGGCGTAATAATGGCCGAGGACCCGGGGTTTTTGTCCGGCGGAACGCGCATTYGCTACCACAATGGGTCGGTGGAGGTTCCGAGCGGTCCCGGCCCCTTGATCCCTGTGCGCGTTTGCGTTTGCTTTTCCGTTTGCGTCGTTTTTGTGGACCAGGTCGTGGAAGAGTCCCCTCCCCGGCGAGAACGGCACCGAGGCATTGTGCAGGGTGACGTGCCGGACCCCAACGATGTAGAGCGACGCGACGGCGAGGAAGAGCGTCCCGCCGAGGATCCGGAGCCACACCGATGACTTTCCCGCCAAACGCCGTCCGCCGTGGACGCTCGTTCTCTGGAGACCGCCCGTCGAACCCCCCGTGTTGTCGTCCATCGCGGCGAACGGAAGGACTCCGGCCTCGACGTGGCTCGAGTGCCTCTTGATCATTGTTGTGGTGGTTGTTTGCAGTTGCCGATGGTCTTTTTGGAATGACAAGAGGACAATCGACGAAAACTGCGACGGTGCTGGACCGTAATTTTTTAGAAGTACTTATTAGGATCGGGTTTGTCTGTGACTGGGGGGAGTTCTTTCGTTTTCCTTCATGATTCCTGATTTGTTGCTACCGTACTAGCTATTTTCGGTATGGTACCATACCAGGTCCTTCACTCGTATTTGTTTCCTGGAAAAGACAGGAGCAACAACTCCTCTATTCGAAATCCAGCCACAATTTTGCTATTGCCATTCAATTTATCGCCAAAGCACGCTTACTAATTTCGGGTTTCAATATGGAAGCTTCCGCCAGCAGAGACGAGTCGTCGTATCTCATTGTACGAGCAACCCGTGCCAAACAATTGATTGCCATCAAAAAATAACGATATTACCCGTTCTCGTACCTTCTATCACATGTATGTGCCAATCTGGGGGCCCTGGTACACGTGCCGGATTATGACGAGTTCGTTCGTACAGCTTCGTGGGCGCTTTATGAAGATTTGAAAAAAGAAAAAAAGTTGTTCTGTGACCAAACCTTAGGATGGCAGGTACGTACGGTACTGTACTACCAGTGGCATTTGTACGTACCTACCCAAGTACTTACTGACTAATAGTAGTACGTACAGATTTGTTGGTTGGATGCCTTTGTTGTTCAAATGTAAGTTAAGGGGCGTGTGATCGCCCCCTATTTTGGTCACGGCGTGCTCCCTCCCCCTTCCGCCGCGGGGCGATTCCTTCCTTCCTTCAATCTTGGCGCGCTCTTGTAAACACGCCAATTACGATCCGATGGCGGTCCTCGGGGGACTGGATTTTTGTCGAGCGACKCGCGATTGTATCCGTTTCGGTGGAGTTTTGGAATTTGTGGTTTGTTTCTTCAGATCTKTCGAGGAACAGAGGGTTCGTGTTCGGTTCCGCACGCACCGGTAGACGGGAAAGGACGACGGAGAAGCCGCTCAACCCTCGGGTCGATCAAATTTTCGGAGGACCGGGGRTGCACCAACCACCACCACGGGAAACCACGGGTCTTCCAATCAAGAAAGCCCAGCCCACATACGAGTACCAGAGACCCCCGTCACCAGCACCAGGGGCAGAGCTTCCGACGACGCAGCGCCCATCGAACGCCACCGCCGGCAAGGAGACAAATTCTCTCGTCGAAGGTGTTTTTCGTACCGGGCCCTCGCAGACTCGAASTGGCACACAACACCYGCACTGMAYTSCACTGCACTGCACTGCACTGCATTCTCGTGTCGTGCCGTAGCTTTGTAGATTGCGGCGTGCACACAYACAAACGCACACACAGTCACACACAATTCTCCGTGCAACAAACCCAACCGAACCACCAAGACCGACSATGCCCGGTCTCCTGACGCCCGAGCGCCGCCAGAAGGCGAAGCAACGGTCCCGCGTAAAGAGCAAGACCAAGAAATCCCCCACGCCGCAGCCTTCGGCGAAAGAYGATGCTTGTGGGCCCCGGACGGTGACGCCCACCACCGGAAGCGACCGGTCCTTCCGGTGGGACGACTACGGCGCCACCGGTTCGCCGTCGCCGTCGCTGTCGCTGGCCTCCTCGTCGTCCTTCTCGTCCCCCATGCGARGCAACAACAGCGAGAAGAACCAGCAGACCTCCTTCCARACGGCCGCGACGGACTCGATGTACGCCTCCGACGAAGACATGCCGATGGACGAGCTGATGGGGATGCAGAAACAGCGCAGCCTCCACATCCACCGCGACTACAACATCGGCTCCGCAAACAGCATCGTGAGCAGCTCCACGAGGTCGTCCAGGGCGGTGTCTCCCCAGCGACGCAGCAGCAGTGGCAACAGAAATAGCAACAGCAAGAGCAGCGCCACGCCGACCAACGAGGTCGGCGACGTTCTCGGCCTGTCCAACATCATGAGGATGGTGTCGCCGTCGAACTGGAACAATGTCTCGGGCCACGACACCGAGTCTTCTACGACGGGAATCCAGAGGATGATTGCCGCCCTCGACAGCGGTTCCGCCGCCCTACGGCCGCCCGATCTGAGCCGAGACGAATGCCTCCTGTGGGATTCCCTCCAGACCGCCATGGCCAACGATCGGAACGAGCAGCTCTCCAAGTTCAAGGCCGTGGAGCGCGATCTCGAACGCAAGATGATCAAGGCCAAGACCCACAGCATCGATCTGGAACGAAAGGTTGCCGCCATGGCGATGGCCACGGAAACACCCGAGGGCGGCGAGGACGGAAAGCCCGCCGCAAGAAATGCCCCCGAACGCGAGCGGGACAGCGACACCAAGCAGCTCCRGCAGATAGAGTCCCTCCGGCAAGCGCTGGAAGCGAAGGAACGCCTTCTCAGGGAGCAGCAGGAAAGCCACGACGCCGAGGTCCTGGCCATTCAGCGTGTTTTGGCCGATGTTACCACGGAAAAGTTGCGGCTCGAGGGGGGCGAAGATGCTCTGGCCGCCGAAAAGGAAAGCCCCACCGCGCCCGACCCCGAAGCGGCACACCGTGGCGCCAACGCGGACACCGACGCTTGCGCCGGCGCCGAGGACTCTGGAAGGATCGCCTCCCTGACCTCCGAGCTGGAGGACGCGAGGGCCAAGCTCAAAGAAGCCGCGCAGGAAAACGAGAAACTGGCCACCGAGGTCGACGCCCTCCGAACGGAACTGGAAACCGCGAAAGCCAGCGCCGACGAGAGAGACAGCGCGGCGGAGGACCGGCACAGGGCCCAACTGGGGGAGCTCGAGGCAGCGATTTCGTCGCAAAAGCTGGAAAACGAGAAGCTGCACGTCGAAAAGATGGAAATCCAGGTGGCCCGGGCCACCGCGCAGGCCGAAGYCGAGGGATTCGAAACGGAGAACGAGGCCCTGGAAAGAGAAGCGGAGCAAGCGAAGCAAGAACGAGAGCAGGCAATGCTCGAGGTGGAAGAACTGAAACAACAGAGGGCACTCGCGGAACAAGAAATAGGAAACCTGAAAAAAGAAAAAGAAAAGGCCCTGGGCGAGGTAGAAAAGCTCCGAAAATCAACGCTAAACGGAGCCGGAAAGCCTGCCGCGGATGCCAAGGTGGACGCGGCAGACAATTCGTCGGCGGACACACCCGGTGCGACCGACGACGGAGACGAATCGAACGAGAGCGCGAACGCGAGCGCGGCGGAGGAGAGCGGAAACAAAACCGTCCGTGCCGAAGAATTCGAAAAACTCCAACAAACCCTGACGGCGACGACCCTGTCGCTGGAAACCTCCAAAAAAATAATAGCCTCCCTGGAAAACGCGAACGGCTCGCTTGCCATCGAGTCGCGAACGAAACTGAAAGAAAAGGAAGAAGAGCTCTCCGTGGCGCAAAAAGAATCCGAGGAGCGCAAGCGCCACCTCGACAGCCTGGCCACGGAACTGCGTGATTTGCAACGAAAACAGGGAGACATCGAGGCAGCCGACCGGAGAGCGATGGGCCAGGTCGCCAACCAAAAGAAACTAAAGGCACTCCTCGAATCGAGCCTGTCCGATCTACAGGAGTCGGTGGCCGTTCACGAGTGCGTTTCCGATGCCTCGAACATCGACGAGATTTCCGAGATTCTTGGCGACACGCTCAATGCGATTGCCGTGACGATCGAATCGGCGGAGCAGACCATCGACGGCTCCTTYGCAGCCGCAGCAAGCGATGCAGACTACGCAGAAACGACTTCCGAAGCCAGCAGCCAGGTCGACGTCATCCACCGGAAGGAACCTTCGCGAAGCATGAAACACGAACTGGACCAGAAGAAGATAGCCGTAAAACGCCTGGAAGAAGCCCTGAAGAAGCAAAACGAGGAGATTCGAAAGCTTCGCTACCAGCTCGATGTCCGTGGCCGTGGAAGCAACCACAGCAACAACCACAACAGCAGCACCAACAACAGCAGCACCAACAACAACGAGAACGAGCAACTCAGAGCCGAGATCCAGAATCTCCGCCAGCAGTGCACAACCAACATGGAGGTGCTAGCGAAGAAGGAGCGCGAGCTCTCGGTTCTGAGATCGAGCCTGAAGGTCGACGACAACGAATCGGGATACATATCCGACGACGCGAGCGACGACGAAGACGACGACGACGGAACAGAGGTGGGATCCATCATGTCCGCACCCAAGCTGAACGCGTACGGACCAGCCGACGCGGAGGCCTACGCGACGATTTTGTCCCAAGCGAACGGGAGGATCGGAATGCCCGCCACCGCGCAGGTCGACGAAATCGAATCCCTGAAGAAGGACCTCATGGAAGCCCTCGGAGAAAAGGAGTCCGCCTCGAAGGAGTTGAAAGCAAGACGAGAATCGCTGGCAAACGCAAAAATGATCATTTCTTCTCTGGAAAAAGCAAACAAGGGCATGATGGAAGACCTCCGATCGCGCCTCCAGGACAGCAACACGGCGATTTCGTCCCTCCTGGACAAGTCCAAGGCGCACGAAAACGAGGCCGAGGATCTCAAGCAGAAGTTGCAGAAACTAGAGCGAGAAAAGGCCGAAGAACGGGAAAAATACGAGTCCGAACTAACGGAACTGAGAAGAAAAGCAAGAAGCGACGACGGAGAAGAAAGTTCTTTGGAAGAGGAGAAACGGACGCTTGCAGCAGATTTAGACTGACCATGACATCATTTGTCGCATAAATTCCCCCAAAAGTTTTCGAACAAACTACTGTATTCAATAGGTCGTGTAACGTTAAACAATTATTGCATTTAGCTCAACCATTGTTGCATCAATGCATCGGGAGTAACAAAGTTTTTCGAATGGCCTTTCTCGCAAAAAATCGAGGCGGGAGACGTTCTATGAAGTCTGCATGCTACGTTATTTACAATCATGCGGTGTTGTATCTTAGTAACTTGGATTCGATCGTGCTTGTGCACATTTCTATGATTTTATCGTGATTTTAGACGCAGTGATCCCTGAGAGCAAGGACGACATCTTTCCAGTGTGGATTATCCGCCCCTTAAGAATAGAAGAAACGAATGCGGTTGAAAGAAAACGGCCAATGGACATCGCGGTGAGTTTCGGGAGGTTGTAGATCGGACGACAATTCTAAACACACCAGCAAAGCAGTGCGTGTACACTAATCTCTCACCTGCCATTCCTAGGTAATTGCCCAAAAGTTCCTCACCAGCTTTGATGTCCCTGCGTGGAGTTGAACTAGAATAGAAACGGACCTGTCTCTCCTTGGCAGGATTGTATATGTATTGCCTTCCTATGTAGGAAGACGTTACCTCTTCTGACATCGACAAAGGATCCGCGGAAGCTTCTGTCACATTGATGTTGTATCCTATGTTGCTTGTACCCATACAGCCATGGTTTATCATACATTGGATTGTACTATCAATGAAGACCTCGGTTTCTCCCTATGCATACAACGAGAAAAGCGATCATTCTCGGAGAGTTAGCTTGGATCAGTTGCCCAATCGACAAAGAACATTCTTCATGACTTACCTGGCTAACAAAGAAGTGACCATACAAATTAGTGTAAGCCTCCAGTTCTTTGCCGTGGTAGTTGGAGTAAGCCCATGGAATTTCCTTCATTTCTTTCATCACCTCGAATACATGTGGATTAATGTGAACGGAAGAGCCGATCTCTTTGAGACCAACATAGCTATCTTTTGGGATATCGGTCTTTGCAAACACACCACGCCCGGCTTTGACGCCCAGAGAGCTGGGTTTGATTTCCAAGGACGATACCATAACATCATCACGCTCAAGATCGAATCCGTGCCCATTGGCACAGTCGACTTCGTTGGGTTTCAAACGACAAAAAGCGGTTTCGCTACCTTTTGAAGGATACCTGTAAGACTTCATCGTTGCCCCATCAAAGTGGAGGAATGGTGATCCCCCAGCCGTTGTGATCATGCCACGTTCCCGGATCTTCAAATCGATCACAGGAGACTCTGCGTACCAGTCGACCTTGTAGTCAAAGTCCTTAAACGCAGCCACAAATTCCCAAGGGTCATCAAATTGACTATGAGATTCTTCGTAATCTCGAATAGTCGGAAAACCGAGTGAAACCAAGGTCTCAATGAAATTTATTCTATTTCTGTCGATAGAGTGTTCTCCCGATGGTGATTGAATGGAATTGGCCTCTCCCACCTGGGCTACCAAAATGCCGCTCTCTCTTAGTGCATTTGGAAGAGACCGAAGAAATGGCCCCCCGTCGTATAGAGCATCCACGAATTCCTTTTGAATTTGAGGGTCTCTGGAAGTCAAATCACAAAAAAAAATGAGAAAATACGATCTTTCAACATACACAATGACATTTAGAAGTCCGAAGCTGGAGATAAAATAAGAAAGAAAATACTCACAGGGCATCCATAATGATAACGTCAAACGGCAACTCATCAAAGTCGTCACTTTTTTCGTCAGAGAATCGATCGATGAACCATTTGAACGCGTCAAGGAAATAAGTTTCCACCCGCGGGTCGTCGAAACAACTCTTGGTGCTGTCCTGCAACATGCTGCAGTCACTCCAGTAAGGCAAAACCTTCTTGGACAGTTCCACCATTTGCTCATCGATATCGATCATAATAACTTTCTCGACAGTGTTGTGCTTGAGAACCTCTCTCAAGGTTGCACCTTCTCCTCCTCCAACAATAGCAACTCGCTTTGGATTCTCGTGGGCAAACATGGCTGGATGTACCAGAGCCTCGTGGTAAGCAGCATCTCCTGTCTTGCAAGATTGGACCACACCGTCCAAGTAAACAAGCCGGTCAGGTTCAAAAAGCTCTGGATGCAAGGCTTCGTACGAACCATCGTTGGAAAGTGATTTCTCGTACGATTCCATGTCATGTCGACCGGGTCGGAAGACATCGTACACGTCCATAGTTTGATAGTCGGTTTGAATCGATGCGATCTGATCGAAGCACGAAGATGGGGTTTGGTTAGAATCAAGAAGCTCATTCTTCAAACAAACCGTGCAGGAACCAAAAATATTGTAGTATTCCATTCTATACTATTTCTCAACTATATGATGAGGAACGTTATCTGCCACTTACCTCTTTCTTAAAATCATTCATCTGACCCACAGGAAAACGAAACATATCGGTTACCTCGCTTGCGCTACCATTTTCTCTCCCAAATCCTCTAAACTTGTGTGCCCAAATCATCTTTGGTTCCATCGCACGCAAAGCATCAGATGCAACAGCGAAGAGCTTTTCTGCCAGGGGTACAATAGGGAGAAGCGAGTTTGGTCCGCAGGTAAACAAATCGAGCGTAATAACCCCTTCTTCCGGCCAAGTATGGAAGGAAACATGTGATTCTAATAGAACCCCGGCGCAACTCACACCACTTGGATGAAGTCCGTGGCAGTGGTACGACAGGAGCGTCAGACCGCATTCGTTGACCAAATCCAACATCGCGGTGGCAAGACGATCCTCCGAATTCAAAAACAAGGCATCAACATGCTCGATGTCAATTAATAAGTGCTGACCGGCGGGGAGGTGCTCCTCTTCTTCTGTTTGTTCATCCTCGACGCAGCTGTCGTTGGTAGATGATCGACATTGATCGCCGTTGCTCTCGTTTTCGAGAAGACCATTATCTAGGTCTTCGCCGTCCTGTGTCACCATCCATCGTGAATGAGTTGTCGATGACAGAGCCGTATTAAAGTTCTTCGACGTGTACGTCGTTATCGGAGGGGTTTTGCCGCTCTGGAGGACAGGATCGGGTAGCGTAAATTGGCCCTCGTCTTTTGAACCAAAAGGTTTCGTGCCCATAGCGCCGTCGATGGAAACATGCTCCCTCTGGTACGCTTTCATAAACTCATTGCGCGGGTTGTCGATTAGAACAATCCGGGAAACGTGACCAACAGCAAACGCCACTAAACAAGACACAACAAACGTCAAGATAATGAATCGTTTCGATATTCGAATGATCAAAACGTTGTTTTCATCTTCGCTCGCCGAACTTTCCGCCACTATGGAAGACCTTTGACCTCCGCCCATGTTCCAATGCTCAATTCAGAAGTACTCGTTGACGGTATCTTCAAATACCGAACGACCCTGGAACTTTTCGTAAGTTTGCTGATCTCCAATGTTCGGATTCGGATTGGATGAGACCCAATTTCAAAGTGAAGAAATTTACAGCTCCTCTCTACTTCCTACCGTACTTTTACTAAGTAGAATTCAGCAAGGCGCAGGAATTTGTCCGTTGGAAACTGATGAATGATTCGGCTCTGTTGTGAAACCTTCATTTTTTCCTACCTCAAGAAAATTTAGACCAAAATGGGGGTCTGAATAGTATTGTACGTAAAGTACCAACCCCTAATGTAATCGGGTCTAAAGTCTAAAATGAAGGAGACCCCCTAAATGCAAAATAACAAATAATTACTGTAACAAGAAGAACTTAAAAAACTGAAAGGTCGGAGGAAGCATGAATTTTTTTACGCGTTGCGCTTCCCTCAAAATGAATGACCTCCGACTCGTGTCACATCAGCAACCACAACAGCAATAGTTATTGTTCGAGTAGGAAGTTCTTCCTTAGCTTGTCGGTATCCGTCATAACGCACATTAAAACACAAGATTGACGCCGTAGAAATACACAACAGTTCAAAATGACAGCAGCCATTGCCAAGCAAATCCCGATCGTTTGTCCCGGCCACACGAGGCCTCTTGCGGAACTCCAATACGTTAACGTCGAGAACGACGACAGCAACACCGCGGACAGCAGCTCCAGTGTGTTCTTGCTGAGTGCCTGTCACGACAAAATGCCCATGATTCGGGATGGAGTCAGCGGGGATTGGATCGGAACCTGGCAGGGCCACAAGGGAGCAGTCTGGTCCTGCCAGATGGACCCAACCGGTAACCTGGCCGCCACGGCGTCCGGCGACTACTCGGCTCGTGTGTGGGACGCAATCACCGGCCAGAGCCTGGTCGAGTTGCCGCACAAACACATCGTGAAGACGTGTGTCTTCTCCCCAAACTCACAGCGATTGGCAACCGGTGGAAAGGAGGCGTCCCTTCGAATCTACGAACTGCCAAAGATATTAGTGAAACAGAACAACGGCAACAAAAAACCGGATGCCACCGAAGCTTCCCCCTCCCTAGAAATCCCCCAGGAATCCCCCATCACAAAACTGGCCTGGGTGTCGAACGATCAACTTCTCTGTTCTTGCATGAACGGAAAGATTTATCTGTGGAATACCACCAACCAGTCGCTTATTCGTACCTTCGACACAAAGGAGGGGGCAGAAATCCGTGATATTGAGGTCTGTGCCATTGCTGGTTCCCAGAAACTTGTGCTGTCCGTTGCCGCCGGAACCAAGGTCTACTTTTTCGATCTCAGCGATTCGCAATCTTGCAAACTTCTCAAGGAGTATAAAATGCCAATTCACTTCAGAGAAGAAGGGGGTGTCACCCTCCATCCGAGCGGTAAGAGGTTTGTGGCAGGCGGCAGCGACCTGTGGGTGAGGGTGTTTGACTTTGAAACTGGGGAAGAGCTTGAATGCCACAAGGGGCACCACGGCCCCATTCGATGCGTCCGATATTCGCCCGATGGACAATCCTATGCGTCTGGGTCGGAAGACGGGACCATTCGATTGTGGAAGACGTCTCCGGCATAGACAGATCTCTTGGTTCCGTATCAAAATTAGAATGGGTTACTAGTTCGGTACTACTGGCCATTCTACTACTAATTTATCAATGCTACTAACTGGTAACAAACTTTATACTTGACTTGTCTTTTTCCTCTTCGTCAAAACTCCTCTAGTTTATGTACTGAATCCCTAGTAGTAGTAGCCACAAGACAGAAAGTAAAGACCTGCTCAAGCATGTTACTCTTACTACTTTTAGTTCATATGCTGATGGAAAGTACGAGTACTGCATACCCTACCGGTAGGTACACGGTACCGGTACTGCGGTTTCGGTTTCGGCAGTATCAGAGCTGCATTTCAGGATTTTTATTCCGTCTGTACGTGCACCCGGATGCAGATAATTTGCGATTGTGGCTGCCCCACGGTATCGTATCGTACCGTATGTCTAGTACCCTAATCGTACTGTAGTGACAACGTAGCATGATGATGTCTTCACGCATGTACCGTACGGTAATAGTAAGATTATCAGCAGTACGGTACCGAGGTTGTTTCGAAAAAATACTGTTTTGTACGGTACCACTTCCAATTAAAATGGCAAAATGCAAAATGCCTTCTACTGTATGGATTAAACTAAGTAGTACGTAACTGGTGTACTGGTACTCACTCATACTGGAAAAGAGCACTGTTTTTCGTCCTTAAGCTTTTGGCTTCTGAGATATCCCGAAGACTGTTTCCCATACGGTGGTAGCCTTGGTATCCAATAGCACTGATCTTATTGTGGTTTCCTTCAAAGTGAACGAATTGCAAGCAATTCTTGAGGATCTGATATTGCGTTTCTGAACTAATTCATTTACTTCCTACTGAAATCCTTGTTGCGTTGTAATCCCTTGTTGCGAAAACATCATGTCGTAAGTGCCATGATCCCTTGGAAACTGGACGGAATTATCTAGTCGATGGTTATCTGATGCACCAATGTCACAGTAACGGATCTAGAGATAATGAAGCACCTCATTGGATAACCGATGAAATGTAATGTCCTCTTTATCTTCTGCCCTGTCCTGTATCACTTTGACTAACTCATTGGCTATCTTCTCTTCACCCCCCGAATTGCTCCATTGCGCTTCAGGGGCAAAAAGTTTTTCCGGATGGGCAAGCAGCTCTATCGTCCACCCGTGGAAGACGACGAGGACGAGGATGTAGACGAAGATAGCGAAGATGAATCGTCCGACGACGACGAGGACACCAAGCCTGCTTCGGCGTCGAAAGCATCCGCAAACGCGAATCTGAGCGATTCGGACGATGACGACGACGATGACGAAGAGGAGGACGAGGAAAGCGAGGACGAGGAAGAGACCAAGAAGCGGCGACGATCAGCTTCAAAAGGAAGCAGCAAACGACCCAAAGTATCTTCCTTTATCGACGAGGAAGCAGAAGACGACGACGATGAAGAAGACGACGAAGTAAGTACATCTTGTTTAGGCCTGTTGCGCATTCCATTGAATGATTGCAAGTAGACCGTCTAAACGGGATTGAAAGCGTTGAAAACCTGCTCTAACGAGATCTTTTGGACCGCCTTTATCAAAATCACGACCACACGATGCACAATCAACAACAGCCTTATGGAACCCATCACGACCCAGATGATGTGGTTAGAAAGCACTACACCGAAGAAGATATCCGAAAGGAACAGATGGACGACGAAGCTCTAGAACTAATGAGGCAGCAGGATCGTCGTCGTGCCCAGGCTGGAGGCCGCTACGTACACGAGCGATCGGTTGAGGAAATGGCACAGGAGATCGAGGATCGCCACCGCCTATCCCGGACGGCTGCCGATCGACGCAGTCTCAGCAGCCACCAGCGACGGGAGCCTTCCTCCACTAAAATGAGCTCGTCGAGACCCGGGGCGTCGAGCAGTGCTAGGCGCCACCATTCTTCCGTCTCGGACGATAGGCCTGGCGGTCCAGAGGCCACCAACGCGGTTTCACAGCAATCGTTGGTTCCATCCGTTAATGACCCGAGCCTGTGGATGATATCCTGTAGCACGGGAAAAGAGCAGGAACTTGTATTGCAACTGATGAACAAATGCGTTGCGTATGCCCGGCAAGGTAGACCTCTGGGAATTTGTGGAGTTATTTCCGGACAATCGAAGGGGAGGATTTACATCGAAAGTTTTAACGAGCCAGCTGTTGTCGAGGCCATCACGGGAGTTCGAGGTCTGTTGCAGTATACAATGAGATTGATCCCGATCCAAGATATGACAACCGTCATGACTGTTGTTCCAAAGAAAAAACCCGGTGAGTTTATGTGACTGAATATAATTGAAGGAAGAACGAAACATTATAGGCATCGTGACTGCATCATTGATTATCGAGCTGACACCATAGTTTTATAAAAAACTCTTGCGTCATGTAGTCAAAAAGAACGAATGGGTAAGAATGACAAGAGGGCATTACAAAGGCGATTTGGCCTTGGTCGTCGCCGTCCGCGAGTCTGGACTAAAATGCATTGTGCAATGTGTCCCTCGTATCGATCTCGCCGCTCTGGGGCTTCCACCCGAGGAAGCACGCATCCGTAGAAAAACGGTTCGACCACCCCAAAAGTTTTACAACGAACAGGAAGTGGCAGCCTTGGGATATGCCGATAGGAGACACAGACAGCGTTTCCCGAATATGGATTACATGTGTGACTATTTCGAAAACAACTACTATTACGATGGATACATGTTGAAAGAAGTGACCGTGGGATCCATGGTAAAACCGTGCGCCGAAAATAAACCAACTCTGGAGGAATTACAACAATTTAGAAAACGAAATAAGTCGGCCAATGACGATGGCAATGACGAGAACGAAGGATCGAAAATGGCAGCTTCGCTTTTGGACGAGTTGTCTGAACTTCAAGGAAAGACAGGTTTTGTTTCTTCGTCATCAAATGGTGGTATAATGACAGGTGATAAAATCGAAGTTGTAGAAGGGGATTTGATTGGAATGAAAGGAAAAGTAATGAGCATGGACGGAACAACAATAAAAATCAAACCTCTCGACACTTCCCTTGATATTGGTGGAACGGGAGAAATTGAATTTTTGGCCAGTCAAGTTCGAAAACACATTGCTGTGGGTGCGCATGTGAAAGTCGTCGATGGAAGATATACAAACGAAACAGGTACTGTTGTTGCGGTCGAAGAAGTTGAGGGGGAAAAAGATTTCACCGCTGTTGTATTGACCGATGTAACAAACAAGGAAATTTCTCTGAGAGTATCCCAGCTCCGAGAGTCGTCCGAGCAGTACTCTGGTCAAGATAAACTTGCAGGATATGAATTATATGATTTAGTAATGCTTAGTGGTGGTGGATCTGCTAACGAAGTCGGTATCATCGTTCGAGTTGGACGTGAGGATTTCACTGTGGTCAACAACCATGGTATCAGTAGAGATGTAAGGCCTGAGGAACTGAGAGGGAAACGAAATTCAACATCAAATCGAGCTGTTGCTTTGGACGTTCAAGGAAACCAGATGCGGTGCGGAGATCAAGTTAACATTGCAGAAGGTCCTCATAAGGGCAAGACCGCAACGGTCAAGAGAATGAGCCGATCCCAGCTTTTTTTGTACTCTCAAACACGATCTGAGCATGCTGGTATTTTTGTAGTACGTAGCCGAAAGTGTTTATTGGCTGGTTCACGTTCCCAGCAACGAGGAGCGCAAGTTGGAGATGCATCTCCGTTTGCAACTCCACAGTCACAATCATCCCGGGGAGGTCCAGGCGGAGGGCGTGGAAAGGGACAGGATTCGTTAATCGGCAAAACTGTACGTATTCAAGCGGGGCAATGGAAAGGTTATCTTGGAGCTGTTTGCGATGCCACGGCAACACATGTGCAGGTGGAACTTCATTCAAGACTGAAAAAAGTCATGGTTGTTAGAGAGCGTGTGGCTGTTGTCGGGGACAAATATGGAGCGGTAGAGGACGTCAATCAAAACGACATGCAAAATGGTATTCCTACTTCATTTACCACTGCGACACCGATGCACGGTGGAGCCACACCAATGCATGGAGGGGCGACGCCCATGCACGGTGGAGCCACACCAATGCATGATTCCATGTCCGATGAAGTTTGGAGACCCGGTGCAATTGACGAGGAGACTGCGCAGCCAGAATCTGGAGGCAATGAGTGGGGTGCTGATACATCAAATACATTTGGGTCCCCAAATAATGAGGATTCTGGATGGGGGAGTTCCCAGGGGGGTAGTACATGGCAACCCACAACTGAAAAGCAGGAGCCCACAGATGATTCAAATGGTGTCGCCCCTGCATCTGCGTCTCTTTCAGTGAAACGCGAGCAACCAAGCAGTACCATGGAAACACATGTCGGAGATAGTGACGAGACAGCTGTCTGGTTCATGGACAGAGTATGTGTGCAACTCAAGAGTGATGATAGGCCTGCAGTTATCAAGGAGATCAATCCCGACAAAACTGCAGTGGTGGTGTTGGAGGATAATAAGACACAGATAGTAAGATTCAATGAAGTTTCACGTATTCAGCCGAAGGAGAAAGACATGGTACTTGTGATAGGGGGAGCAGATGTTGGTGTTGAAGGTGAACTTGTTTGCATTGATGGATCTGACGCTATTCTAAAAGACTCGAATGAAGAGTTCAAGATTGTTGACTTCGTTCATTTAGCTAAAATCGCCGGTGACTAAATCCCTTTGATTCCACTAAAATAACCATAATATTCGATACAATTATGTCGTTTCTAGTCAATGGAATTAGCTGTAGTCATTCCAGGTTCCGAAGAAGATTCTGATGCGGTGTTTGGGGCGGCAGAGGCTCTCCTTTTCCCAGCGCCTTGTGATATCGATCATGATGATTCTTTGTCCCCAGGTTCATTATGCCAACCGGTTCTTTACAGTAACAGTTGCTCGACCTGTCACAGCACAATGCATAGTGACCAGGGCCTTCCCCGTCCGCATCTGGCTCTTGAGTAATATTGCCAAATTCAAAAGTTGACTTTTCCATGGCATATGCAGCCAAAATTCTTTTCATCGCCAACAAGTCTTCACTTTCGGTTGGCATTGAGTTAAAACTGATTGGTTCTGATTCGCTTGGGTCTTTCTCGACGTCGAAGAGAAGAGGGGGGTCGTACCTCTTGGCTAAAGTTTCATTATAATGTCCAAGTCCGGGCGCTGTGCACCAGTGGGCCTATTATTGTTCAGTTGAGGTGTTACGAACATTTTAATTTTTTAGTATTTAAAGGCACGAATGACAATTCCAAACGGTGGCTTCTAAAATTCTTCTTACCTTGTACTTCCCGTGCCGAACACTGGCGATACTCCAATATTTTTCACCGCTACATGTGCCATAAAAGAAGAGGAAATCGTGTTCGGACTTTCCATCATTATTGAGTAGAATTTTAGACATATCTTTACCGTCGAATGGACGATCATCTGGTAGTGGTATTCCTGCTAGAGCCGAGAGCGTGGGGAACACATCAAGTGAACTAATTACCTCTGATGTCCGAGTGAAAGGAGAAATCTTCCCTTTCCAATATGCGAATGCTGGTTCTCGGATGCCACCTTCCTAATTTCTCATATATTTGGAGTGAAAAACATATTACTGTGTAAGTTGGATCAATAGTAGAAGCAACATGTGGTAGATCAACTCTATTTTTTATGAATGTCATCACACGTACCCAAGTGGAACCTTTCGCTGTATTTGTGTACCCTTCTGCAAAGCGGCCCGTAAATAAACCTTCGCTTCCTCCCGACAATCCCTGTGCCATCCAAGGTCCATTGTCGCTGGTGAAAAGAATCAGTGTATTCTCTTCCAGGCCAAGATCACGAATCTTTTGAACAATATTTCCCGCGATCCAATCCGTTTCGGCCAATGCATCTCCAAACGTCCCCCGCTTTGTTGTGTTTTGAAAGTTACAACCAGCATATTGTCTCTCCTTTGTTGAGCCTGTCTGCGTAGTGTGAACGTGCGAGAAAGGAACGTACAAGAAAAAAGGCTTGGAGGAATCTTGGTGGTCTTCGATAAAGCTTGTTGCGAAGTTACTGTATTTTTTGGCAAGGGATGTAAAATCAACAGGCTGCTGAAGAATTTGTGTCTGATTGAATTTTTGATAAACTAGGGGAAGCCATTTCGTACCCATGTCATCGTCACGGTGATTATTGTAATTCTTCGTGGTGAAGAAATTCGCATCCATGAGCCCCATTTTTTCGTACATACTTCTAGCCGACCATTCACCATGAGTGTACCCGCCATCGTCTCCGGTGGCAGAAAAGGGGTACTCTGCCGGACACGAGCTCTCCATACCAGCGCCCATATCATCACTAAATGGAATGCCYAAATAAAAGTCAAAACCTCTATTTCCGGGCAGATAAACTTTCCGTTGCCCGAGATGCCACTTCCCGACAATAGCAGTAGAATAACCGCCGTTCTTTAGTTGCTCGGCGATTGTAATTTCTTCTAGATTCAACCCGTAGGGGCAGTCAGGACCGATCACACCCGGGAGGCCTGTGCGTGCAAATTGTCGACCAGTCATTAGCGCAGCTCGACTACCCGTGCAAACATTGCATCCACTGTACCAAGTGGTAAGAATTTTCCCATTCCATGCCAAGCTATCTAAATTTGGAGTTTTTGTTGTAGGATGGCCTAGGAAAGAATAGATACAAATGTAAGATATGGACGCCATTAAGACACGGGTTTGATTGAATATTACAGCATACTATCAAACCTGATTTTCCTTTTCCCATATCCGTACGCACCGGTGAATCCGAGATCCCCATAGCCCAAATCGTCAACGAAAAAGACTACGAAGTTAGGAGCGCGATCTTTGGAACTTGTTGATGACTCGGCGAGAATCAAACAAAGATTTAGCGCGACGAAGATCAGTAATTTCATATCAATTCTTCCGATAGCAATCGCTCCTCTAATGTAAGCCATTTTCGGATATTTCAGTTGGTTTCGCAGCTTTCTCCTCAAAGGAGCTCTGAAGAACAAAATTAKATACAACGCGAGCTAATTTTAATGATTGAATGATACAGCAGCTGGTCTAKGATGCGATTTTGTTGTCAAGATTTTTTGTTCCGCAAAAATCAAAAATTTGTCCTCGATTGAGAAGCATTCGTACATAAGTTAAATACGTGAAATAGGTACCTCAGTATGGTACATCGATAATTCGATACGAAGTTCTACTATGTACTTGTACTTGGTAGTACGGTACGCACTTTCCTGTCAATAGTATAGTACCAACCTTGTACGTTACTCCTACCGTACTATATTACTCGTACTTACTCTTGTGCGGTACGAGTATACTTCTAAGTAATTAAGAATAGAGCAAACATACACAGACATCAACGACACGTGGAAAGAACGTCAATATCTTGTCGGTTTAGAGACAATCGAGAGTACGTCCTGTTCAGTACAAAATCCTACGGTGATACACAACAAGAAAAATAACGTCCTTCGTAATGATACGATACTCCTCGTTTCCCGCAACGTATGGTACGAGTAACTCGTACTCGTACTTGTAACTGGTATCGTGTACTCGTACCGCCRATCTGCAAAACGTATTTCGATTTTCCCTTTAATAGTTCTATGGTATCGTCGCCGACGACAAGACTCCTCCTGAACACAACATCCATTTTTACATTGTGGTGATTTACTGAACAAAGTCGACAACCATGCTGACCACGCATTCCAAGTCACGCGCAGTGATCGCTTCATTCATTGCTCTCGCATCCGCTAGCAACAGCTGCGTGGCCGATGCTACTCGTCCCTTTGCGACTTCCACTTTCGTGCCCAAAACCAGACGAAATGTGATGYCGAGAAATCGCCATTCYCTGATGCAATTGCGTGGCGGAGAAGATGCAACGGCGAGTGCGGAAACAGAACCTAGTTCAAAGGACGATAAGAGTTTGGACGAAAAAGTTTACGCTGCTATGGAAAAACTCGGTTTGTCGGGTCCACCAATCGACGCCGACGACATGGAATGCAAAGATGGGGTTTGCGCTATGCCAGGGCAAAAGCAGGAATCTCAACCCGAGATTGACCCAACCAAAATGGCTGATATGATAGCCGAAGAGATGAATGTTGACTCTCACTTGGCAATGGCTGCTCTCGCAGCTACGTCTACCGTTGGAGAGGGAGGCAAACGCAGCTTCAACGAATCGGCTGCAASGGCGATGATCCAGCAAGAACTCGACTTGATTGAAACAATTCCTGAAGACTCTCAGAACGTGCAAACGTTGACGGGAGAAGGTTTTGATGTCTTCATGTCGCGGAGAGCATTAGCCTTTGCCGAGAACAATGTCGAGGATGCTCGTGCTATCTTGTTGGCAGATCAAATGGATGCCGAAGAGGAAGAGCAAGAAAAGGCCGCAGCTCTTGCCGCATCTTCTAGCCCTACTGCATCGGCTGAAGAAACTGAGGCTCAAGCAGATTTTGTGGAAGTCAAAGCCAATTTCGATCCAACCAAAATTCCAGCGACGGCTCCGACCTCGCCACCGGTTGCACCTGCCAGTAGCAGCAACAGCGATAACATGCCAAAACCCGCAAAGAAAGAAGATGTCGTTTTCGAGGCCACGACGGATCAGCTTCAGAAACTTGTTCTTGAATCACCAGTACCAGTTTTATTGGACGTCTACGCTGATTGGTAAGATAATTTTTGGCGCAGTTTATTTCTACTTTTATTTTTTTCGACTTTGCTCAATTTGTTTCGACCTTTGCGAACTATCGTGCAGGTGTGGACCATGCAAAGTTCTTGGACCAGCTCTCGAGGACATGGCAATAAAATCTGGAGGTATGTTTCGACTTGTAAAGATCAATTCCGATAACGAACGTCCTGTCAGCCAGGCCTTGGAAGTTGCGGCCTTGCCAACAGTCTTTGGAATCAAAGATGGAAAAATTGTTCACAAATTTGAGGGTATGCCTAAATCTGAAGATATGATGAGAAATTTTATGATGGGGCTTTTTGGAGCTGCACCGTTTTCGCCCCCTGTTACCGCTGATGAGAAAGTAAAATACGAAGAAATGACTAGCAAGCTGATCAAGTCTGCAAGCGCAGCATCATTCTCGTTCTCGGCACGAGAACGTTTGACTGATAGAATCGTTACGAAAATGGACGTACTCGTGAAGGATGATTCCGTGTCGAATGTAGAAGACGCGGCGAGGCTAATTCGAACATTTATGAACAACGTCATCAACAATCCATACGATCAGAAATATAGAACGATTAATTTGGCAAACAAAGTTGTGGCGTCAAAGATTGGCGAAAATCCCTCATGTCTAGCTGTCTTGAGGAGTGTCGGTTTCTCGAAATCAGGAACCACAATGGTGCTGAAAAAGGACCAGAAGGTCATTAACATAGCACCGCTTGTGGTCGCGAGAGACACGATTGACAAGTGGATTGTAAAGAATATGAAGGAAATGGCCGCTGCTGCTAGGAAACGTCAAGACGAATTAGATCGTGCTAATCTTAACCTCGAAGAGCTAGTCGAGGACGAAGAGGAAAGTGAAGAAGTGGAAGAAATTGACCCCACGGTGTGTAGAGTGTCGCTTCGATTAGATGGGAAAAACAAAGTCCACAATGCTGAGTTACACCGAGATGATCCGTTGAAAAAAATCCTTGAAGAACTGAATATCAATACGGAAGAGGATGAAGTCCAAATAACATGCGTCGCAAAACGGTTGGTTGTGAAGTCGAAAGACAAAGAAGCGATGGAGAAGACGCTAGAAGAGCACAAACTGATGCCTGCGGCTAATATTGTAGTCAAGGTGGGAGCTTCGAAGAAAGCAGATACATCGAGTATGAAGGAAAGGGTTGCGGAGAAGAAGATACGGAAGACGGGCAGTCATACAATGCAGAGCATCGGTGTGTATGCTAAGGATGACAACAATAAGGCGGAGCTCATTGACGGAGGAGGGGGTGTGTGGTATGAACATGACATTTCTGATGATGAGAATGAAGCCGAGGGCGAGGGCGATGAAGATACGGACGACCAGAAGGATGCGGAAACGACACCTCCAGAGAAGGAATCTGAGGGAGAAGCTTTGGCCGAAACCGAATAGAGCAAGACTGGCTAATCAAAATTCATTAACGAGCAGAAACATTCGCAGCTAGTGATTAAAAATGCTGGAACTAGAACGAGGAACGCAATCGATTMAGCTACATTAGATTTTGTCATTTCAAATAACACTTCCAAGAGAAGAGGCATATTTAACATTTTAGATTGAGGGATCTATTCTTGAGTTATTCTTGATATTCATAAGACTGCATGTATTTGGATGACCAGCAAATAGTTTTCACATCATATCAACATTCAAGGAAAATTTCAGCTAGCCATACTTTGAAATCCCCTACATTCATCCCTTTTGGAGAGATCAACAATTTCCACTTCACCATCTGTCCCCCCAATAGCAAGAAAATCCTCGGATTCTGTTGCTGACGGTATCCATCTAACACATTTCATGCTATGCTTTCCTTTGTTTCTTCGAATTTCAGTATAGCATGTAAGTGCCTGCCGTTGCCAATTATAGTCCATTTCGTTCACTGCACATCCAGATTGGAGGTACGAAAGATCGAGCACAGTTACGGTTCCGTTTGATAYCGCCGCTGCGACTAGCCCTCCACTGTTCCAGTCCAAACCAAATATTTCACCATCTCTTGGTATAGTCAAAACGGTCTCCCAACTTCTTTCCTTAGTCCTAATTTCCATGATATGGATCTGCTTGTCCTCGCCGCCATAGGCACAATACTGCAAACCCCCAGATGATGATTTCCCCCAGGCCAATGCAAGCCCTGCTCCCTTTGTCTCTACTGTAAAGACTGACCGCCATTGAGATAAAAATGCATCTGATGTATCGTAAATAACTAAATTGTGATCTTTGCCAATTGCTGCGAACCATTTACCGTCGTGGGACCAAGCATTCGCCAACGTTGTTCCACCGTAATCTATTTCCAAAACGTTTTCAAAATTTGAATCCGCATCCACGACTCGAGTTCTTGAACCGCTCACAGCTATGAAGCGACTGGTTGAGTCGATAGATATATCATTGACACAGCCAAGATCTCTTATCACTTTTGCCACGAAGAACCCAGATGTGTTCAGAGGTACAGATCCAACAAGCGTTTCCTTTCTCGCGACAATTATAACCTTATTCACTGCAGCAATCACCACATAGGATCCATTTGGACTCCATTCTATCGAGAGCGAATTAGAACAATCTACCACTAGCTCATAAGCCGATACAAATGTGGTACCGGACAATATGAATATTCCAACAACACCCATCTCATTTCCGATGGCTACTTGATGACCATCCGGTGAAAAGGCAACGGACGCAACTGGATATACCGACCGAAGAAAGTGTCCGGATACGTGACGGCCATTTGTCGTTTCCACCGCCAAAATCCTATCATTTTGACCTGTTAGGACTAAGTACTGGTCGTCTGGATGCCAGTTCGCAGAGAGTGGCACAAATCCCTTGAGACCGATGTTGATAATATTATCCCAGCCTTTTTGAACATCCAAGATCGAAACTTCCGACGTGACACCACCAACAGCAAGATGGGTTGACCCTTGAGACGACGAAATGAATTGAACCCACCTGTCTCGCTTGATTTTGTGCACAGGCTCCCAGCGCTCAGTGCTAATTACAGTTATTTCAAAATCTTCACCTCCTGCATATAGATACTTTCCATCCGCAGACCATTGGATAGTAAGAATAGAATCTTCAAGCTTGAAATTGGCAACATTGATAAGTTCCATCATTACTGCGTCATCAAATCTGTAAACTAAAAGAATTCCATGGCTATCCCCGACAGCGAAGAAAGTATCTCCGGGTTTGAACTGAACAGCATTCACCCATGGTTTTCCTCGATTGATAGTGTGTATGACCTTGCTTTTGATTTGACACACGGATTGTGAGCCAGGGAAGTCAAAATTTTGCATGGTATTCTGAKTATCGAGGTTTTCCCATATTTCGTGTACTGTAGCTCTCCCATTGCGGCTTCCAACCAGTAGTTTATTCGATCCACGCAACCAATCTAAAGAACCAACGAAGCCAGTTGAAGGAATTGTGTGTAAGATCTGGTACGGTTCGGTCGGGGCTAGAATAGAAACAGCGTTTCCAGTGCCACCAATGGCGATAAAATGTTCACCCCAAGCAATGCTACGGATCGATTGCGTTGTCCCTTGCTTTGGCGGTCGTCTTACAACTCTGTCGTGTTTAACACGCCAAACAGGGGACAGGGTTGTATCTACCACTGCGAGATCATGATTTTCAGTCGCAATCGCCAATTGGTTTCCATCTGGGGACCAAGCCGTGCACCACGTCCAACTTCCTCTCATGATCTCGTGGACTACAACGGTTTTGGATTCACCGACACTGTAGGAGCCATCTTTTGGTAAATCTCCTGGTGTTGTGAACTTATTGTCGACCCAATTAGAAAGTTTGTGACTTATCTTCTGAGAGGCTCGAAAGGCTCTGGGAAACGACGGCGGCCTCTGCTGATGATTCTGCCCATCCACAACATCTACCGATACTTTAACCAAAGAATTATTGGGACCAGAGGAAGCTCGTGGATATGAAGAAAGGGCTGGCGATGTACTAGAAATGGAATCGTTGCACGTCGATGATGGCCGCTCGCTATCGAAATCGTTCTCGTCACGGCTCATCGATCCCATGAAGGAAGTAAACCAGCTTCCGACGGAGTTCTCGTCGTCCAATCGTTGCTCGGCGGCTGCTTCTTCAGACTCAATTTTTAAGGATTTGATCGGAATTTGTTCAATGCCGTCGTCTGTTACCACCACGGTTGCTAACCCATCCTCGGTTGCTATTGGGCTGTTGGCGTCGTCCTCGAACGGTATGGATTGGTCAAATTTGTCACGTTTTCGAGCAAGAAGTGCAGAGTCGGGGAGTATTCCATCCAACCGACTGAGTATTTTKTCTTGTGGCAATGGATTTCCGCCATTGTCAAGGTTCATATCTTTCAGTCGAGAAGGCAAACATGTTTCTATCGCCTCTTGAAAGTCTTCGATCGAAGCCACGCGGGAAGCCACGCTTCTCAGCGAAGGATTATTGTTGGTTGTCTCATCATCGAATTCATCTTGGGGCACTCCGGCAAAATTGTCGACATCGATAGTATCCACACCTGACGCACCGTTCTGTGCGGAATCCTCTTCGCTCCTTTCCGTTTCATTCTTCGAGGAATCTCCATCAGTGTAGTCAGCGGTATATTCTCGCAATATTGTTGATAACGACGACGACGACGTTGAGGATGATTCGTCGATCTCTCCATTTTCCCCATCGCCTTGGCTTCCCAGAGTTTGTTTGCTACTTTCTGGGTCGATGTCGCTGTTACTGCTGGCCATCTCTTCGGAAGAAACTGCGTTTCGTGGTACTCCAAGTGTTTCATCGGTTCGACAAAATCCTTCGGAAACGGCCTGTTGATCAGAGGTTGCTATCGATAGTCTCCTTGCTTCTAGGAAGATCCGTTCTGCTTCTATGACAATCTGTTCAGCAGCCTCTTCGGCTAAAGCGTTCTCTTTCATGGAATCCGTTATCGTTGAGGGTAGCACAGCGGGTTCGTCGTTGTCGTTGTCATTGGCATTGGTAGCTTTTGGTACCAGAGAAGAATCATCAGCGGCTAAATTGTTGTTCATAGCAAAATTGTTCTCGTGATCGTTTCTAGACTCAAAAGATGCCCACGTCCCCGTACTATGATGTCGTCGCTGCTGTAAAGCGGGAATCGATAGCGGAGGAAAATCGGTCAATACTTGCGGCTTCGGTCGAACATGAGACGACTGGAGTCTCCGTATTCGACTGTTGTGGGCCGAAGAAGAGGTGGGTAGATCACACTTCGACTCTCTCTCGCTATTTATTACAACGCGGTCACTCGGAGCGTCATTGGGGAAGGGATTGAGGCTATTTGGGTGAGTGCCGATGCCGTTGTCGTTGTCGTTGCCGGTGCCTCTGTCTTTGGTGGGTAGCCGTTTTGGGGAAACCGCTGTTGTCGCTGTAGATGTCGCTGAGCACTTAGCTGTAGACGGGTTCTGTTCACTGCTCATCCTTGGGATGGATATCAAACACGTTTTACTTTATCTGATGGCTCTGCTTTTGAGTTACGAGTACCATGCTGACAGTTTCGTACTCAAAGACTGAACATGTTGTAGCACCTGTGTCATCAATGGCAAAACACAAACATTATTCATAGGGTAGTACGTACCGTACGGAAATACTCGTAGTCGTACCTGTATTATTATTATTATTATTCGTACTCGTGGGGGCAGTATTACCGTTAYGAGGAATTACCTAGATTTTTTTAAACCTTCCAACCCCTGAATTCCATATGCGATGGTCGGAAGGCGCATCAGCAGCGCCTCAATCTCATTTTTTCTAAAGAGTAGTAGAAGCACGTGCTTTCAATTTTGTTCGCGCGGAGTAATTCGATGAAGTGCGGGTAGTTGACATCGTTTTTGCTTCATAAAAATTCAGCTTCATCGTTTACTACGCATTTCATAACGATTGGATATGGTCTTGTCCGGGTGTAAAGAGTTTCAGGTACTATAAAGAATACATGAAAGTTTACTTACTTCGACATACAGTTATACAATCTACTGACCCCGAGGTTCTATCACACCATCGCRCCAGCTGGCCAGCATCTATTCAGCAGCGACCAAACTGGAAAGCAAACTAGAATGGAGCAAAAGTTGGGTCCCGCTTACGGTACCGGCAGGATCCTATTAGGAAATTCTTTTCTGAAAATCAAGGGGAAACCCAATAAATCAGTTTTGATCACAGTTGAGAAACACCGACTTTGTTAAATCCTACTGAGATTACACTGGTCAAGACGTGTCCCTCAGCATGCTAGCACTGTTCTTTTTTCTTTTCATCTTTTCAGGAAACTTGTTACAGAGGTAGTCGATCTTGCGAATTTAAGCATTTGCACTCACTCTTAGATCCTGTAACCAGTATCAATTTCTTTGTAGTTTTACTTGTAGATCAAAAGTGTGTTGAACTGTAGCAAAGGACCCAGAAGTACACCTGTTTGGTCCTTAATTTACRACGACTGCTTCTTTTTGTACGTCGCAAACAATAATGAGCTCCCTTACCTCTTGCCCAACAATTGACACCGAGGAAGAAGAAGTTAGAGATGGCCTCCTACAGCTGCCAAGGAATGCTCGCAGACGCTGCACGCAACAATCATTTGGCGAAATAGGAGGAAATGAGAAACCGATTGATTTTGCTACGTATAGCGACGACGAGGATAACGAGGATAAAGACGASGAGGAGGAGGACGAGTACACCCTTTTCGTTCCCAGAAATATTATTAATCAGTTCACCCCTACACTGATTATAACCCAACAGAGCCTGGTCTTCACTAGATCGGCTAAACAACAGACCCTCAGGTAATTAGTAGCTAAAGATTATTGCCCTACCACTGAGGATGTTTTTGATGAGATCTATAGCCAACTGTGTTCCTTTCGCTGTACACGGGAGGCTTGCGCTCTGAAGAGCATCGTCAAGGCTTCCGAGGAGATCTTTGGTACTATGGACGAGGCCTTGGCTGAATTACTAAAGATWACAAAGAGGCGCAACGCCACCAAGAACATGGTTGTAGCCCCAGCAGAAATGTCAGCTACTTCGATGCCGGCAGGGAGGGTAGCTTGAATACTAGCTCAGATGCCCGCTCAAATATTAGATCGAATGTCGGCAAGGATGCAAGCAGAAGAAGCAAGRAAGGCAGTACCAACGAAGTAGCTAGGACCAAGACCGAAACGAGACGTTGCTCARTGGCAACGACGACGAGGAGGAGGAGTACACCCCCGTCCCTGGTAGAAATATTTTTAGTCAATACCCAACAATGGACATCCAGGAAATGGAAGCCGGAGACAGAGAAGTCAGAAGTTGTCTTCTACAGCTGCGTAACGCTGGTAGTAGCGACGGCAACGAGGACGATGCTGACACACTCTACACTGATTACAATCCAATAGAGCCTCCAAAGAAGATTCGTTTTGAAGATTGTAGAACAGGACAGGTACACACGTACTATGTTTAGCCGAGAACAGTAAATAATATGTAATTAATGTTCCAGACTATGTTGAAGTACTTGTAGCAATACATCATCGGATACATCCGATGGTTTCCAGACTGTTTGGTTCGCTTGTATTTGTGATACAGCCATATCTGGTACGGAAAACCCTTGCAGAGACTCGTCCTTCGTTTCTAGAGGCGGBGACGGTCGCTCTTGCAGTTGCTGTACAAGTGTTCGAAAATTTGCGCGAACACGATCGTTGCCACCTGTTGTTGCGTTTTCGTCTTGTAGGGAATAATAATGGCAGAGGCCAGGAACTAAACTCGCAAGGAAGGAAAGCGGATGTGTCTCTGGAAATAGTGTTGGAATCAACGACGACCCCAAGGCAATCGTGATGGATCGGTCGTCTTCTTCTTCAAAACCGTCGCTCAGACCGTACGAAATCAAGCCAGCAGACTGGTAGAGYAGACTAGATAAGGATGGAATAGCTTCCATCAACYTCCCCTTTTTGTCCCATTCCGGAGAATTCCTCAAAGCAATTAGATCTATTGTCGCCTGGAGCAGGTTTGGCAGTGACGGTTGYATGCTCTTTCTCGACCCTGCGTCTAGTATTATAGCGGATACTGCATGCAACAACACATCGAATTTCTCTTCGTCCAAGTGCTCCATGTAYTTTTGTGAATCCAGCRTAGCCACGGTTGCAGCACACTTGCTACTATTGTCGTTTGTGCCATCGACGGTTGCCGTAATCTTCTGATGCCTGTGCGGAAGGGGCACCAGAGTGTCTTCGTCGCCGTCGAGAAAAAGAGAATGGCTAGCTCCGGCCGACARCAGCCCACCATATGTTCCGGGTATTAAAATGAGGGGGATCTCCTTTTCTTGGTCCGCCTGGACCGTCGTTGCCACGGCTTTTGCCAGATCCATTGCAGCTCCGCTGCCAACCGAGACAACCGAAGATGCTCCCGTCCGTTGCATCAACTCCAGTGTCTGATCCAGTGAGTCTTTTGTCGGAAATGCCGATGAAATCGTCGTCGGAACGGTGCGCATGCCAAACTGTTGGCCAAGCGTGAACCTCACCCATTGGCACGAATCGGCGACAGGTTTTAGATTCGGGGACGATGCACCAACCTCGCTGCTAATCAGAAGGATGGGGGTTTGGCGAAGCGCGTTGAGCTCCGATTGTACAAAGCTTCGAAAGGACTTGATTCCAGGAGCTAGGAGGTTTCTGCTCACGTTTATAGAAGCCATTTTGAATACCATGCAGGTACCGGTACGGTTTGTTGTTATTTGTGATGCTTATGGGCCCTACCGGTACGTTAGTTTTTGAGGAAGACAGTCGCCAACCAAGATCAGGGTTTCCCATGTGTTTTTTTTTTTCATGTTGAAAAAACGAAGAGGAATAAACAAAGAGTACTCCCTGCGCAGGCAATATTATCTTGTTTCTCTTTGGAAAAAATCAACAAATCAAAGACAAACAAGGAGAGGCAATATTCCCTTTGTTTCTGTTTGTCTAAAGATAAAGAAACAAAGATAACTTTGCTTACTAGTAGGCAATAGTCTATTTGTTTCTTGTTCTATGAGGAGGAAAGGGAACAAGAAGTGCCCCGATAATTTCACTACGACTATGTAGCTAAAAACAAAGCCAGCAGCAGAGAATACTGGTGCCCCCATCGCCCTTAGTATATTCACTCTGCTGAAACAGAGAGAAACAATGCAAAGATTGCACAGGCTATATTCTCTGTTTCTCCTTTTTGAAACAATGGGAAACAAAGAAAAGAGACTACTAGGAGGAGAGGCAATATTCTCTTACTACTAGTAGTAGTTTCTCCTTGTTATAGTAACAACAATGCAAACAATGAGAAGCAATTAGAATATTTCCCTGTGCCTCCTTGTTGGCCCTGTACAAAACAATTWTATTTCTTGCAGCCATCATGTCTGACATAGSTCCTGGAAGCACCAACCTTCTTATCCTCAATGGGGTGGTGATTCCCACCATTAATCTAGATCAACTCAATAGTATGGGCTATTTTAGACATGGTTGACAACTGCCATGCCACATAACTTGAATGGCACCATCTACTCCCCAGAAGAAGGCTTTCACAACAACCTCATATTGGACGGGTGCAGCTCCAGTTTTACAATTGAACACACCATGCCTGGTTGTGCCGCCAAGAAGGCACCACCAGACTTGTCCTCGTCCAATGCCACAATGATGTTGCCAGAGAATGGCACCAACTCTGTGCAGAAGCCCTGAAACCCAGTGCAKTGACTGATGAACCAAGGATCCAATCACATCAGTCCAAATCTGAACCACCAGGCAACGGCCAGAGAAACTCTCCCCCACCCCCACGTGATCTCAGAGTTGAGGATATTCTTGCAGTGCATGATGGTTTCTGGAAATGGGGCACAACCACAGTCTTTGACCACATCAGAGTCACTGATACAGATTCTTGTTCCAAGCTCACCAGGAGGCTCATACTAGTTGCTTCACTCCTCTTGTCTAGTATTCTACTAGTAGTATAGATGGGATGGAGGAGGGCCCAGAGGCAGTTGTAGCTCAAAAACAACTTGCCTCCAGGCTTGCTTCCAAGTGGGGAAGAAAAAACTCTCAAGTTTTTGGATTAGTCAGATCTAGAATTGGATTTGCACTTGCAAGAGCTACAAGCAGATGCTTGAGGGGCACTCATGATGCCAGATTGAAGTTCAATCAGCCCCTGGATTGGATCTCCCAATCTGCTGGTGGTGTGCAAGTGTATTCCTATTAGAAAGCCAGATTCCATCCTATCCAGTTTTTTGCTAGGATTTTGTCCGTGGTTTTGGGCGCAGAAACTGAGCTTAGAAATATCAGAGCCTGCCCTGAATTTGATGCTTGACAAGTCAGATCTCATCACTCCAAGCGTTTTACTAGCATTCTCACTGTGCTTTCCAACTGATCAATTGAATCGATGCTGCCATACCAAAAACGCAAATATGATACACAACCATTAGAGGTCATTATTGGAAGAAAATACACATACCAAATCTACAATTGGACGTTATTCTTTTGGGACGTACACAGACCTGATCTGAACTATGGTAGGAGTCCAAAAAAACAAAATTGTCCCCTTTCTATTACAACTCATTTTATGAAAACCCAATTGAAAGAAAGGCAATTTATTGTTGTTTACGGTTAGAAAGTCATCTAAGGGTTTTTATAGAACAAATATTGTTTTGATTCTGATCGATAACTTCGACATTTTCGCACTCTACTGATGTTTCAGGATCAAACTTGTTGTTCAAAAACGTAACATTCCTGCAAGGCATGTACTTGCTGCAAGCAAAGCGTATGCCCTTTGCAGTTCCAACACCACTGTTTCCTTGAAATGAAAGGTTCTGAATCAATGTTGGCCTATCGTTCCTATCCTTACCATCGTCCTGATAATCGGTTTCCACAAGAATCACAGACGTTGTGTTGTGTATAGTATTGTTTGCAAACAAAATATTTTTCATGTGACCGCCACGAGTGCCCGTGGTTTTCAGATGCAAGGCAGGACTCCATCCGCAGCAACCTACTTCGCAATGGCCAGGGTGACAAAAACCGATCACATTGTCCTCAACCCGAACATTTCGAATTCCTCCGCTACATTCGCTGCCCAGGGAAATCCCCATACCGATGCGAAACATGTTTCGCCGAATAGTAACATTGACTGTTTCGTAGGTACCATCATTGAATTCTTTTGTTTTGCCGCAGTCCAATGCCGCAGTCTTGCCACACAGTCCCGCCTTGATTGCAATATGATCATCACCACAAGAAATATCGTTATCCTCGATAAGCACATTTTTGGAACTATCAGGGTCTATTCCATCACTATTGAATGCGTACATGTGCGATCGAATCTTAATATGGTGAATGTGAACGTTTTTACAGAGAACAGGATGAAGGCACCAAAAGGGGGAGTCTTTCAGCATGACCCCGGTTACCTCCACATTGCGACATCGAACCAACTGGATGAGGTTGGGACGTCCCGCTTTCAATAATGAAGAGTGGTTTTGGGCAGCATCCCACCATGGTTGTCCTTGTCCGTCAATCATTCCCTTTCCTATTATTCGTATGTCGTGAGCATTTACAGCATACAAAAAGGCCTGATACTGTAAATGAAAACCGCCGTCTTCAGCTCTTCCATAGTTAACAAGAGGAGGGATTTGTGGCCAGGTTGTTTCGGTCCAATTAAGTGCTCGCAAGGTACCATCCACTTGGAGAGTTACGTGACTCGTTAGGTTGAGCGGACCGGTAGAGAATGTATGGTTCTCCGGCAAAAGAATGGTAGCGACTATCCCTCCAGCGAGGTTCGACGCGATTTGCAACGCTCGTCGTACCGCATCTGTGTCGTCGTCGATACCATTCCCTATGGCTCCGAAATCGAGAACATTTAGAACAACGGGCCCTATCTCAGATTCGTATTTCTGCACAATTTTATTTGTCGCAGCTGTACGGAGACTCCCCAAACGACTCCAAGACACCATGAAGCCTCCAGTCGAAGCCGAAAGGGTGAGCAAGTAGGGAAAATGAAAACAGAGAAGTATGACAGGAGGTAGGAGCGACGAGATAATCAAGAGGACCTGGTGACGTGGAAGAATCATTCTTGTTGTCTTTTTGTTGCTCTCTTACTTTCTCTTGGTCTGGTACTGTATTGTTATGAGAATTTGTTTTACAGTAAATGTGTAGTGGATTTAGATTTAGATTGTTCTGATCTGCTGGTTACTTTACCCTACAGTACAAGTACCGTACTGTACGATACTGCATCGCTATGTTCTTAAAAATCTTTTTCATTGTATCTCGTGCCCGTACTACCGTACCGTACATGTCGCTACGTGCTGTCACGGTTGCCGTACTCTCGCTCTCTCGCTCAGCAGGTGTCATTCATAATCGTAAAAAATAAAAAATCTCAAGACAGATAAAAATAAAAATACTGTACGAGCAGTAATGTACGAAGTACTTCCGTACAATCTATTTACCACACACAGGCTTGCTAGCTTGTAACGTAGCGTACGTACCGTTCGATACGTACGTATGTGCGTCTTCGGTCTACTTCGTTACAGTATCCTTTACGTTACTGTAATGAACGTACTGGTACCGAACGAAATGCCATTGGATCGGTACGTTGTAGTAGTACCAGTACAGGTACCGWAGGTGTCGATCAAAATAATCGAGAAACATMGCGAAAGCATCAAAAATTAAATAATGTATCGTAGTATTACCATACGAACAGTACCGTGCATCCAGATTTTTCTGTGTGCAGTACGTGTGGAGAAAGCGTGGAAGGAGAAGATGTGTTGACCACTACCCCGTACTAGAAGYCAGGAAGTGAAATGTCTTTCTTGATATTAAAATTTGTGGGGTAATCTTTCACGTTTGCCAAACTCTGGACGGTGTGATGTTATGGAATAGCCACAATAAAGGCATGTAGGGGCTGAAAATATAAACACTTCGTAGAGTATAGAATCGAGAACATTGATATTGCTTCAATGGTTTTCAAAAATTAAGAATTGCTAGTAGAAATTAGAGGTTCTTCAGAAATAGAGACCTATAGCTTTCCGAAGGAGAAGGAGAACTTGGCCTTCTTAGCACCGGTCTTCTTGGCACCAGCCTTCTTGCCACCGGCCTTGCTCTTGACAGCTGCGGTGGTGGAGCCGAATGCGGTTTCCTTTTGTCCAGACCAGTCGTACTTGGTCTTGGCCATTCTGTGTCCAAGGTTGACGTCCTTGGCCCAGCTTTGCTTGACATCGGTTCCACGCTTAGTGTACCACTCGGTGTAATCCTCGAAGATTCCAGCCTTGGCTACGTTTCTAGCGTAGTTCTCGGCCTTCTTCTTCTCTTGTCCCTTACGGATATCGTCGTATTGCTTGGCAGTCAATCCAGAGGGAACGTAGGACTTTCCTTGCTTGATCTCTCCGAGTTTCAACTACATGYGCAAACAAAACATAACATGTCAGGACGATGCATATTCGAGGATTCTTCACTTCAGACATTTACAGRGTGGTTAGCTTACATTCTTCTTGGCGCGAGCTCCGTATGTGTTCTGGTCAGCCTTAGGGGCGAAAAGATCCATGTTCGCGATGTTGTCGAACAGGGATGCCTCAAGCTGGCTTCCAGCACGTCCCTGGGAAGCAGGAGCGAATCCCTGGACAGCGGCGACAAGAACAAGAGCGAGGACGARGGAGTAGGACTGCATTGTAGAAAATTGCACTGCAAAATAATTTATGATTGGTAACWAGCGGTTTCTTCGTCGCTGTAAACCTTCTTCATTCGGTGTTTGGAACGAAGAAACTAAAGGATGAGTCAGTCGTCTATCGCACAAGCGATAGAATACGAATATTATCGATCTTCTTCTTCTGTAAGTTCGTCGGACATGAATGATGCATGATTTGCACGATCGTAAGGAAAACCTGAGAAACAGGAACTACGGATTGTGAGAAGATTTCTGATTCTGTGAAGATGACTAGGAAATGACGCATGTCCATCATTGAATGGGCTTCAAAATTCTATGTTGCGTCTGTCCTCCAATAGTGAGGTGAGATATACATCTTCGACAATCGAACAATTACCGGTAGAATATTTATACCGTAAGCAGCGCTCAAACTAAGCCACAAAACCTTTTCTTGTGCATATGGTATTTCTAATGATTGCGGTACGAAGGACTGACGTAACAATGCTCATTTCTGACAGTTTGGGAGTGATGGTAGCATTCGCATTAAGAAACCAGTCAAAACGTTCAAATCCGATCTGCCAGCGCATACTTTGTCTGTACTGTTAGTACGAGGACTGTTACGAGTACGTACGTATGAAGGAGTGCCGTACGAGAATAACCATAGTACGAATACTTGTACCGTAGCAGGTCCTCGGAATTGGATCTTGAAAGCAATATTCATTCGACCAGTTCGACTCAAATTGTATGTCTTATCTGTAATCTAGAACCTAAAACCCTTAGTGAGCCAGAGTTATTCTCAAATCATTCTGTACAAAATAAACCGTCCTACCGGTACACTGTAGAACATACGACGAAATATGATACTAATGCTACTTTAGTTAGTGGTCTGTACGTACGATACGTAAAGTACTCGTACTATCGACAAACCCCAGACTTTTTGTGAGATGTTTACTTTAGAAGAAGGTCTATTGCTCTGTCGCTGTCTTTCCTAGTTCGAGAGGTCACCAAACACTATTACGGGTTTCTATTTAGCTTAAAGAGTATCAACAGAGTCATAACTATGCTTTGTTATTGAGCCATACATTGAAATATCTTTCGTTCAAGAGGTGCCTTGGCAGTAACTTTGTATTGAGGTGCCACAATTGATTTCGTGGTTTCGATCAAAGACATGAAAGTCTCCATGATCAACAATAAATGAGTTGTTCGACATTTTCCATCGTTGGTCATTTTTCATCAAAAGTTTTCGCTCTTTGATTTCTTTTCTGACTGTTTTCGAAACATGTCCAATCAAATTTGAAAATGGTATCTATTTGAGCTTCTTCTTCCCGAAAATGTTTCCCACAAATTTCTTCGTGAGGTCTCCGAACTGAGAAAATAATAGATTTGGGGGTGGAGGCGCAGTTAGGAAAATTACGAGCAACCAGAAGTGCATCTCAAACTCCACYATTCAACAAGGGAATCATTTGATGCGTACCTGATAATCATCGTCTCCAGAAATATTTTTCAATGCCTGCATCGTGAGATCGCCAAACTTATAGTTCTTAGCGGCATCTTCTCCCAGATAACCTTTCACCCATTCTCGTCGTCTCTTCTCGACTTCCCTCGTAATATCACCAAACTCGTACTCGTCTTTGCCAATATAGTCAGATACTCTGTCTTTGACACGTCTATCAATCTCTTGTGTGAGATCGCCAAATTCGTACTCGTCTTTTCCACAGAAGGAAGCCACGGTGCCTTTCACACGAGAGTCGATCTCTTTCGACAAATCTCCGGCCTCGTAGGGTTTTCCCGTCATTTCTTCGGTCATGTCCTTTGCCTAACGACGATACAGAACTAATGAGAACGAGATCTCTAACTATGACGGCTGAAGATGCGAGTCACAGAAAGGAAGTCTATTCGAGAAACCTTCCATCCCTTGTTCCACTTACCATCCCATCTATCACGACAATCAGGTCACCAAGTTGGTATTCATCATTCCCGCGCATGCTTGCAATTTCGCTCTTGACTCTATTATCGATCTCTTTGGTAATATCTCCGACCTGGTAATTGTCTTTCCCAATGAAATCTGCTGTGTTCTTCTTGATGTCTTCGACCACTGCCATTTTGATTACTTCCGAGAGCTCCATAGTAAGCCCTTCCCACTCGTCATTCTCGACTAAGTTCCCCACGGCTTCAGCTTTTTGTTCTTCGCTTACAGGCTCCTTGCCTTCGTTAGTGGAGTAAAGAACGACATCGCGTGTTGTCCGGGAGTGGAGGCTACTCGTGCCCGCAACTCGATGATTCTTCGAAGACGACGAACGATAAGGTGTCGAAACCACGGAAAACGACGCTGCATTATCAGCATTTTGTAGCAGCAGGAGCAGGAGCAACTGGAACGAACAAGAGTAAGAAGACTTCAAATTCATGGTGTAATCAGACGGAACGTTTGTCAAGTCGAAATAGGAATTATAGATTTTGGAGTGTGTCACTTCACGTGAGTGATCCGTGTTGACACGAAGGAAGACATCTGTGTTTGGATCGTCCTTGGAAGGAACCCTGACGAAGCTAGGACAGTTCCGCACTAGTACAATTTTTACAGACGCCTACTAGAGGAACAACACACCTCATTTGGGTTCCCACCTTGAACCTGTGCCTAGATTGTAATAAAAACTATTTCAGTCGAATTTTCTGTATTGCCGTATTTTTTTTTCGCAAATTTTCTCTCGGAGCTTAATTACGTTACTGCAGTACGTACAGGTAGTACCAAATCGAGAGAACCATGAGTCAAAATCTAGACGCAGAAAAACATCACGAAACTCTCTCGGGAAAGGAAAACACGAGGAACGAATGAATGCAGTTGCTGTGAATGGCATAATAGAAGGATATTGGATATTGTTGTTTCCACATCTACAAAAATGTTAAAAGCATATTGCAGACCTTCTGGCCGCATACCATTTTGTCCGCTATTTTCCAAGTTTGCCGTCAACCAACAGTACAGTATCCTTGATCTGAAGGTACAAGATCATGTCAGCGAACAAAAACCAGACAGGCGAGGGCAGAAATGAACTTCAGGAAGTCACGCTCACTCGGCCAAGTTCGAAAAATGATAACAGCAAGAATAAATCCACTGATGTAGTGCTTTGGATTACATACATCAATATTGTGCTGTATGCTCTTTGCTATCAACTGCAGCGACCTGTTGAGCCGTACCTAATAGAATCGCTGGTTGCAAAGGAGGAGGAGGGGCATTTGTTATCTTCGACAACATCTTCTGTGAACCAAACCTACGGTAACCTCCAATCCTTCTTTTCATTTTGTCAAATGTTTGGTTCACCACTCGTGGGAATTTTATTGGACCGGATCGGCATTCGCAAGACGTCGTGCGTTGTCTTTGTCGCCTCGGCCTTGTCCTACGCAATCTTGGCGTGGGCCTCGGATCTGAAACTCCTGTTCGTCAGTAAGATTCCTACCGTGTTCCAGGCTGCATTTCTTGTGGCTCAGGCGACCGCCGCCACCACCACGGGAGACAATGCCRCAGCTCGCGCCGCGGCACTCGGTCGTATGACTACGGCCTACACGGTCGGGGCGACAATCGGCCCCGCACTCGGTGGGTACCTGGCGGGCCAGGGCGATTTCTATGTTGGTGCCAAACTCGCCGTGGCGGGATCGCTGCTCTCGGCAGTGCTATCGTTGTCATTCCTTCCGAATCACAGCGCGTTGCAACAAGAGCAAACGAAATCCGAAAAAGACTTACCCAAGATTAGGAAAAGGAGTTCCTTTCTGGAAGACGCGCGGCACTCGGCAAAAATAATGTGTCGCCCAAACATCTGGCCACTGCTCTTTGTCAAAGTTATAGGAGGTGTTTGTTCTTCGATACATTCTACGGCACTTCCCTTGGTGCTGACCCAATTACTCCATTTCGAGCCCCAACAGTTAGGCCTGGTAATGTCTTGTGGAATGTTCGCCGTGGCCTTCTTCGGAGCATTTTTTATGGCTCCGTTGACAAAAATGCTTGGTTCGTATGGGATGATGAATGCCGGTATGGTTTCAAGGTCTGTCCTCGGTATAGCCTTCAGTGGGATAGTGACTATTTACTCTTCCTTGCTTTCAAGAGGTAATTCCACGAGCAGTATGATAAGCTCCGACTTTGTTTTGATCCAGGTCATCGTCATTTCGATATTGCATGCTCTGTCTCAGCATGTTTTGGCAACTGGATTGACTACGCAAACAACGGGAAATGTCGAAAAGGAAGAACAAGGGGCTCTGCTGGGGCTGGAACATAGTCTCTTTAGTCTGGCTAGAATAGGAGGACCGGCTATTGGAACCGCTCTGTTAGGCATTGGAGGAGTTTTGCCAGTAGAAATGACCTGCGGTTCAATCGATGTTTTGACGACAGTCTTTTTATACGTGAATTTACCGCCATCGTCGAAACAAAAAGGCCCCTGAYAGCAACCGATTGATATCCAATCTGATTAAATGATTGCTACCTACTTGATATTTTTCKTTCAACCTAAATGCAACCGATACGCGTTGTCTGTGTTGCCGGTAGATGTAGGTCTTAACTACTGCATGTTATAAAATCACAACTATATTTCCATTTCAAGTCTATCGACGTCTTCCCCTTTGCTTGCTGTTCTTCTTGCCACCTCTTCCTCCTCCTGATGAGCAACTTCTTAATAGCGCTTCCAGTTTCATTTTGTCGATTTTCGGTTTCTTGTCGATATAATAGCCCAAACCTTGTCTGCCCATCGTGAAGACATAACCCTTCTTGGAGCCTTTGAACTTTTTCGTGGCAATGAATTCCTTATTCTCCTCTGCTGGTTTTTCGGCCTTCTTTTGCTTCTTTTTGGAACTCGAGGCAGGTTCTGGGGACKGTGATCTCTTCGTCTTCTTTTCCGGTGTCTTCGTCTTTTCTGCCTTTGTTTCTTTCGTGGCTTTCTTGGCTTTCTTGACAGGTTCCTTGTCCTTGTCGGCCTTCTTCTGCTTTTTCAAAGCTTGAAGCAGTGGGCTCTGCAAATCTTTTTTCTTCTTTTCTTTCGTTTCTTTATTGTCGCTTTCGTCGGTCTTTTCCGTTTCGTTCTTTTCTCCCGACTGTACGCTACTGTCGACTTTGATACCCGCCAATTTAGCAATTTCTCTGAGAGCTTCCGGAGTCTTGTTGTATACAGGAAGGGAGACACTATCGGCCGTTTTGACCCCAATCATCTGGATATTCGCCCATGAGCGTGGAATTCGTTTTGCAGCTGATTTTGCAATCGCCATAATGTTGGCGACGAGCTTTTCGCGTTCCATTCCGGTGTGGCCTGCTCGAATAGAAATGCATGTACCCTTATTGACAGTCATATAGGTTGCACTAAGCGCCTTCTGAATGGCGAATGGAAGAGCTGCTTCGCGCGTCAAATTGATAGGGACAGGAAGCCTCTTTGCTTTAATGAAATTCTTTCCTAGAGCCTTACTCATCATTGGTAAGATGCGGTCGTCGGCCATGAACATATTATACTTCGAAAGGAGTTGGCGCTTCTGGTCGAAAGACTTGTGCTTCTTTCGCAGAGACTCCAAGGTCAGAACTTTTTTCACACAGCCCATATGATCAGGGAACTTTTCCATCATMTCTTGGCACCATGGCTTTGCTTCGTCCTTGACGATGAGGCAGACTTCTGGCTCTTCTACGGAATCGGAATTATTATCGTTGGTATCTGCGAGCCGATAGAAAGGATGAGGAACAAGAAGCTGGTAGGGCTTCGGCTTGCTTTCACCGGGAGCACGAAGAAGGGTAAATTGTACCTGGACAGGTCGATCATTTCCAAGCAACGATAATTTGTCTGATGAAGATTCCGTTACCTTCTCCTGGTACTTCAATACAGCTTCGACTGCCTTGTCGACAAGGGTAGAATCGAGTTCAGTATTAGCAAACTTTGCACCTTTCGAAGGCTTCGGACTTTTAGTCGCTGTCTTCTTCTTGACAACGCCAACTTTCTGCGACTTGATTCCTGTTTTTGCTGCCATTGTAGTGCTTTCCTATTGTTGAATTAAATGGTCGAAAGATTGGGAAAGAAGTTTTCGAACAACAAATGCAGAAAAGAGATCGAAGAGGGAAGGAAATCCGATCGTCCATGTTATTTGCGCCTTCGCATGGGTCGCATCGCAACCAACTTTTTTCTCAAAAAAACTTGTCGATCCGAACAAATCAAGGGGTGGTGGTGAAAGACGTTGTTAGTGTCTGGCTTCGTCCGTACAGCACTACGCGAGAGAGAAATTGCAACTTTTCTACCAAA